TGTGCATTTCGCATTGGTACTGAAAAATATTCTAGGGTTCATAGTATTTTCTGTGGTAAAAATTCTCCATCTATCTCCTTTTTTTTTTTTTTTTTTTTTTTAAAATTCTGAAATGTTTTTCTTTATGTAGAATGTATTAAAATTATTAGTCTACAAATATGAAATACTATGCTCATTTTTACTTCTCGCTTTTGTTTTCTTTTGAACAGTATTGAGTTTAGAAACAATTGTAAAAATAATAAAATTCAAGTCATATTTTCATTCATATTCTGTCTGTACTCACTGGATTCAAACTACTTTGCAAATTATATATAAATTTGAAATTAAAATATTTGGAATACTGTCAAACTGAAAATAATAAAGGGGGAATTATATGTAGCTGGGAAATAAATTTTGGGTAAATATTTTACCCAATTTACCTATATATGAAATGCCAGTTTACTTTAAATATTTTCGAAGCAAATATTTAAAGCTGATTTCGAAAAAATTGAAGAGCAATTTTGTTTGCTGTTTTCAATCTCCATATCAAATGAATATTTTGCAGAGTCAGAAGTCTTTTTACAGACAGAATAAACATTTCCAAGTAATAAAATGCAATAAAATATTTTTCTGAAAATATTCAATGTTTGTGTGATTTCTAGTAGTTACTCGTAAATAATTTATTCCTAGAAATAATTATGAATTTTATGCACTTTTCAAGGTTTAAACCATTCACTGAACTTTTGAATTTTATAATACCTCGGAAATTTGAAAATTGACAGTTGTTGAATAACCTTGTAAGTTGCAAGTTTTATTGTGATTTATGGAAGGAAATCAAATTACATTAACACATGTGACATGAAAGTAATGGTGAAATTAGATTTCCTTCTCAAGAAAAATAGCACATGCAGGGTGTTTATAATTGAATGATGCGGTTTTAAAAATGAATAATAAATCGATGTGTTACTCGTGTAAAACTTACACCGTAAGCACTCGCAACTGTCCAAGTTTCTCATGCGCTACCTGCTATTTGTTTGTCATGCATACCGCGTAGCCGAAGCGATAATTTCCTAGATGGCGCCGCAACAGGAAAAGGCGATACTGTGTGCTCACGGATATGAATATGAATGTTAACTGAAAAGAAATTTAGCTTTTGTCCTATGATGTTCGTTCTCTAATCACTCCAAATCATATGTTTGATAAATATAATTTTCAATCAAAGTTTTTGCTGATTATCATTTATTTTATTTCGATCTATCTTCGCTCTTAAATAAATTTTAGTTAATTTCATGCTCGAAGAATTCTTCCCTTTAAGTCTCACGAAACAAACTCTTCTACCCTAATTAAGATTTCTTTATTGTATTATTAGGAGCATTCTGTTCAAAACCAATATCAGCGTTTCCTAAAAAATACCGTGACATATAAACTCGAGATTATAAGCATCCGTTTTGAGATGTCCAGATCTGTGGTTAGTTTCGTGCACGTTTTCTGTGCGGTGTCCCGCGAGAAAGTACAACCAATTTTTATTCGAAAAAGAAACTGTGATCGATGACTCATTTCTAGATATGTTGGGAACATGGTTTTTACTCTAGGTAAACACAAATTATGGTGATTATATTTTTCAACTGAACGATGCTCCACCCCATTTTTACAGGAATGTACGTGAGCTTCTTAATTTTGTTCGCTAACGATGGATTCGACGTACTGAAACAAAAAACAACAACCTTCTCTCCTGGCCATATTGTTCGCCGGATTTAACATCACGAGATTTTTCTTTGGAGCTTTGTTAAAGAAAGAGTTTATGTGCCGCCTTGAGGAAGATTATGGTTGGATAAAGAATGCACTGCAGACCGTCATGGCAGTCATGCTACACTGAGTATGGGAAAAATTTGATTATCGTGTAAATGTATGTCGTATGACCAAGGGAACACATATTCAAGAATTGTAATTAATGCATCAAATACTTGGACAGCTGCCGCTGCTAATGCTGCAAGGTTTGCTCATGTAAAGTAACACATCGATTTATTATTAATTTTTAAAACTGCACCATTCATTTATAAACACCCTGTATTTATTTCTATGCATATCAAGGGGGTTTCTACTGCCATCAGGGTTGGCGTAAGGCACTTTGCCAGCCTGTGCAATCCTGCGGGTTCTAAATTCTGCTGCTCAATGCCTCTCCTAAAGTCTAAAAATTTTGGCATATTTAAATTTTCTTGTTCGGTTCTTCTTTAAACTCTAAATATTTTGCCGCTCATAAATTCCACTACCTAGAGCGGTCGGGCCGCACTGGCTTTGGCCCTGATTGGGTAAAAAACTACAGCCGAAGTATGCAGCTTTAGCCATTCATTCACTAGCCATTACACAACAGTATTGTATTCATTACTATGTGTTAATATAAGATTTAATATATAAGTAATTCGGTATAACATCTTGCATTACATTCATGTGTAAAATCATAAAAGCCATTTTGTCATTTAATAGTATTGAAAACATGAGTATTTAGATTCAGATATAATAATTGTTTTAATATTCTAATCAGTTTTTTTTGGGAGGACACTATAATCAATTTATTTTTTATACTCTTAATAATATTTACTTTATTCTAATATTATTTATCTATCTATTACCTATTATTTTAATAATATATCTATCAAAATAATTATCTCCCATTATTTCCTGATTTATATTCCACTCAACTGATACACGCTGACAAATAACCTATCCCTCCCAAAAAAGTAATTAAATACATTTGTTAGGTTGTACAAAACAATCATTTTCATTAACATAAAACGATACTTATATATATTATATGATATTTGTCATTTCTACAATCTTGTAATTTCTATAATCTTGCCAGGCGATAAACTGGCAGTAAATATGTTTGCTGCTTTAATCTTAGGTTAGCAACGGTAAGTAAACTGCACGGCAATTATGGATGTAATCCTCTTCCTTCTGACCAAGTTCCTTCTCTTCTTGCATTTTATCTGCACATATCCGCGCTGAAGTTCCACGGTGCTCTTTCATGACTGATGTGCAATTTTGATGGGAAATGAGCAGTCCCAAAAATATATGCTAGTTAAGAAACTTGGGGCGCGGATGGGGCTGAGAAAAAGCAAATAAAAGATTAAATGCGTAGATCGCAGAAAATGGCTATTTACGGGTTCCAAAATCTAATCCGATATTTACAGGCAATTATAGTGGCAAAGACACATTACTGGCAAATCACTGTTTGTGGAAACCGCCTGTTTCAAGAAATTAAATACCAAGCTGTAAAATAATTTTAAAATTTCGAGCAAAACGTACAAGGATTTCTCACTTAGTAATCCAATATAACCAATGCATGCACTTTCCTACATTCATATGACATGCAATTTTATTCTAGGTTCTGTACTTATTACATATTCTGCTGACCAGAATTTTGTTTCTGGCTAGCTATACTAATTTTCTTTAAATGAAGGAAGTGAAATTTCTAAATGTTTTTGGCAATTATTATCAGCCAGATTTATTTCTCCTAACATGACTAAGTATTTATATATTTATAGACACATGTCTACAAAAAAACTCACGCTGACCACCACTGGAAGTGATTAGTAACTTTAATGAACATCAGTATGGGGTCATAACCTTTCGAAAGCGACCACTTTCAGAGAAGACCTACATTAGAAGATGATTAACATTGTCTTAAACCGTGAGTGGTCGTTTTAGAAGGAATGTACATAACAAGACTCCTTACAAAATAAAAAATAAATAAATAAATGAATCGTAATATAATTGGAGAACACAGATATCCTAGATCATACTAGCTTAAACATGAAATATTAAAATTATTTATTCTTCCAACCGTCATTTCAGATATTTAACCGAACACAAACAGGTCGCAGATAAAAAGCAATCTGCTTGTCTAAAAAAAGCTATCGTGCTGTCTTGCGCTGATTGTCAAGAGCTACAGATAGTGGACTTGATTTATGACTTGCAAGTAAGCGACAGGGAACTGTCATGCTTGTTTGTCAAAATGAGAAAGCGAAATTGGTTCCATATAAATGACGAACTCTTCAATTCATATATCATACAGTAGTGTTTGCATGCTGAGATGTAATTGATCTTGCTATTTCCAACGGCAAACTCGCTAAGCGGCGGAAATGACTGTTGAAGCGTTCTAAAAATCCATCTTCTGTTCAAGCAGTAACTGCCGATGACTCCGGCCTGAGAATTTTTTATGTTAAATATTTCTTCTAGTTTGCCTCAACTAGAACATGCCCAGAAACCACCAGAACCAGAATGGCCCGACCCACGACCCCCTTTTCCTACCTCTTCTATTCCTATTTTATATCGGCCCACCAGCGGCCGAGCGGTAAAGTCGCTGAACACTGGTAGTTCGGTCCGAGGTTCGAATCCCGCGAACGGGTTGGCCGCATGGGTGTTTTCCCCCGTGTGTAACGTGTATACGAGCCAGTTTCCCTTAGAAAGTCCTTCACGAAGGCATCCCTCCCCTTAGGCAGATAGCCCTAGTGTGCTTTGCCATAATTAAATACACCACACCACCTATTTTATATCGGGGGAAAACTTTCTACTGCCTGTTTTTTAAATAGAACTGGCCTTACTCTAATGTATATCTCCGTCGTCAGCAATCATCTTCCGTCTCACTGCCAGCGGTGGAGAAGGGGAGAGTGCAAGGCGCCAACGTGAGAGGGTCTGAGTTCGGATTTGGCTTCGGTAGCTTTCAAAGGGAGCTATCACCCGTAGTAAAACAGTTTAAAACCTACATTTTACTGAACTATGTTTGATTAACAACTTTAAATAGAGTTGTACATAGGGCTGTAAAACGGAATAAATATCAAAATGGGTTTATCAAATGAGTTTTGACCTGGCCTCCTGCAACTACACGATACTTATATTACTTTTCATTAATAATTCAGTCTAATGAAAACTGCTGTTAATTTTCCATTGTTGACTATCCTAAAAACAAAACCAAAATGAATATTATTGTTCTTAGACAATGTGTAATTAAATAAGTTGAAACTAGTAATATTAATATTTATTCTGTTATTACATTATATATATATATATATATGTATGTATATAACAAGTAAATACAACTATATTTAACTTAAAACTATAAGCAACATTTAGAATGATGAAAGGTTATGATGATGATTAAAAGTTTGAAAATGTGGGATTTGTTGGCACAGATATAAAAGAACGCAGTTCTCGAGGTTCTTGACTAAGGTCTGAAGCTGCATCATCATTGCTTTTGTTAAAGAACCACAATTTTGAAATCGTTATGAAGATAGATTTTTCCTGTTCTTGTTGATGCAAATCTGCTTAGGGAAAAAAAAATAGTAAGTTTACAATATAAAATATATATATATACATTTTATCAAAATTTCAATAAAGCAAATGTGTTGAGTTTTGCAGGCGAAATTAATGAAACAGGAGACACGTATTCACGCCTTTCTCTTCTCTCTCATATATAAAGTACTATATAATCTATATACATCTCTATGTATAAATTCAAATTAAAGTAATTAAACCTAAATTAAAAAGCCTAAAACTTGCGCTAAACTGCAAAGTAATCAACCAATAATTCATAATAATTTGTAATAAGAAATCTTTCTATAAACCATCTCCAAGGAACACAAATTAAATTTAAAACCATGAAAGAAAAAATTTTTAGAATGTAAATAGCATTTTAAACAGTAATATCAACTCTTGTTTATAAATCGGCTAAGAAAAGCCTTTAATCGCAAAAATCCAAAACCAAAAAGAAAATTTTAATATTGAATATTTTAATATTGAATAAGCAGCTATTGTCATTGATCGCAGATTAATCTACTTATCAAAGGGATAAACCAATTCACCATCAATTAACAACAATTAAATTAAGAGAGTGTTTCATCTTACTTCCAAGTAAGCATCAAATTATTTGCTAGATTCAAACCATAAGTACAACTAATACTCAATCAAACACACAATTCGTGGGCAAAATGGAAGAGAATTTGCAAATTATGTTTATTTTTATCAAAAGCACTGAACTTTATGCCGCCGAAGAATTATGCAAATATTCAGAGGCGAATACGTAAGCGTACACTTGCCAGTTTGCGCACTGGGATTGTAAGGGGAACATTAAGCGGACGAACGGTCTTCCGTGCTTTGTGTGCTGGTAATCCTTCACAATATTCTCCGCGTTTCTCGTAACAGCTTAAATTTTATAAGGTGTCAGGTAAAATGAGTAGTCACGAACGTATGGATGACGCAATGTGAGGGAGAATTATTTGTAGATTGGAGGCAGGGCAATCATAAGCACAGATGGCTGCACAGCTTAATGTAACAGTGTAGTCTTCATTTTGAGGAAATAGTTTCAGGACAATGGATCTATATCGAGAAGACCTGGACAAGGTCGACCAAGATACATAACGACGAATTTGGATAGTTATTTGGCACTTTCAGCGCGGCGACACAGGACTGCTACAGCTTCGCAGTACTCACGTGAGCTGTATGCTGCCACTGGAACCAGAGTTTTGAAGGCCGACAGTTGCTGCAAGGCTTCACGAGATAGAACTGTATGCCAGAAGTCCCGCTATTTGTGTCCCGTTCAACGCAGCACACAAGATAGCGCATTTAACGGGATACAGACACTAAGCGCCTTGAACCAGACTTAGGTGGATCACAGTGCGTTTTAAAGATGAGTTGACATTCGGCCTGAACACTGATTCTTGGCGTACCTGTATCTGGAGAGAGCGTAGAACATAAATACATCCCTCTCTTATCAGGGAAAAGATTTATTACTGTACTGGAGGTGTAATGGTTTGGGCAGGCATTATGTCGGACCGCCGCACACCCCAGCATGTGTTTGACAAAGGCTCCATGACGGTTATGAGGTACAGACAGATCTTAGAGCTCTACGTTCGACTTTTTAGGTGTGCAAGTGGTCCTTTGTTCCTGTTAATGGACGACAACGTTTGTACACATACAGCTCAACTGATCGACGACTAACTAGAAAGAGAGGATATTCACTGTATGAATTGGGCAGCCAGGTTTCTTGACTTTAACCCTATACAGCATGTTAGGGACGCTCTTGGGAGGGCAACTTCATCTCGCCCTCCCTCTCCGAGAAGCATCCAAAAGTTGAAAACTGCCTTGCTGCAGGAGTGAGGTCGACTGCCACAGAGATTCATCAATTGCCTCTTATCCAGTAAGCGGTCACTCTGCGCGACCTGTTTGGCTGTGAGGGAAGACCGTGCATATTAGACTCATTAACAGTTCGATATCACAAAGATTTTGGGATTTTGGCATGTGGATTTTGGGCATTCGTGCACTTTGAGCTTTACTGAAAGTCATGGGTATATAAAATGACTTCTGAATGGTAAATCTCTTTCATCGTTATAAATGTATATTCCTACCAAATTTCATTAAAATCTATCCAATACTTTTTCATAAATTCAAAATAATATGCAAATTCTGTTATTTGTGCACACGGGTGTATAAGTGAACACATATTACTATAATATATCTGATATAACAGAACAGTATGAAAAATGCTTTCACCTTATATGAATAATGAATCGCAGCCATTTTTGAGATGATGGATCCTTTTCAGAAGAACCAATAGGCATATAATATATCTTTTGCCGCATAAATGTATGGCACAGAGGTGGCATGTTGCTTAAATCATAGTTGAGAACAAACATTTTAACAACAGTCTCGGATGGGTTGAACAACGTCTAAAAGAAAATTCAGAAATAAATTACATATTTAGTGGTATTACAAACATATATTTATGATTTCTAATATCAGTAAAATAAAATATTCGATAATATAGTACGAAGGGCATCAATGCTGTCCAATCACAATCTTTTTATATTTTTATATCCGCAAAATCAGAAGCCAAATTTATATAACCGTTATAGACTACCTCAAATATTTTTCACTCCAGCGGCGGAGCGGTAAAATAGCTGAACGCTTGTATTTCGACCTGGATTCAAACCTCGGCGAATGGGGTAACGGCAGAATGCAAGCTAATTTTGCTTAAACTCTCCACGAAGACAGCTCTTCCTCTACATAAATAATTATCGTGTGCATTACTGTGATCTAAATAATCCAATCTAACCCATTTCGTTACTACAGGGCAGTGGCGTAGCGAGAGGGGGGCATGGGGGTGCATGATGCCCCGGGCGCCGCTCGTAGAGGGGCGCCAAATGGTCTCCAAACAAGATTTTCCGGAAAATTTCAGTTTTTCATTTTGATCGATTTCTTGATAATATATTTAAAATTTATAACTATTGTAATTTATATATAATTAATTATTTATTTTCTTGATTTGTTTGATAAAATGTGTACAAAATGTTTGCAGTACATCAACCAAAACGTTCTTCCTGACCACTTTATTTCTCCAAAGTAGAGATATATTTATATTTTTTTTTAACGAAAATGCACGTATATGTTCTGCTTTTATTTTAAAACGATTTCTCAAACTATCCAGTTTCTAAAACCCGATTCCATAATCTGGAAATGACATTTTGGGACAATCCTAACGCTTCCGCTACAATGGATTGCGTTTGACTCTCCTGTAAACGACTGATGTCCTTCCTGGCTACCGATTCAACTATGTTATCTTGCTGAGACATCGTATATTCACTGCTACGAAGCATTCAACGCATGTGAATTGTTTTTAATCTCCTATTACAAAAGGAATACTGCAGGTAGCTCCTCACTCCTTATCTAAAACGCATAGTTTTTGACGTCACAGACTAAATTTGCATATTCCCAACTTTGTAAACGTTATAATTTTCCTTTATAATCTCTTCTATTTCCTTTTGTTCAAAAAGGTTGTTGATTATAATGGTTATTTTCATACCGAACCCACAATATCCCCCTAATTGTTTTGAGCAGTGAATGTGACTGTATGACGTTACTTACTACTTACTCCGCAGTAGAAAAGAAACGGAACCTAAGACTCCATTACAGATCTATAGATAAATGTTTTTCCAAACCTAAGTGTCGCACTTCAAATACTACTTACTATTTCATTATCAAATGCTAATTATGAACGTTCGTTCAGCATATTAATAAATTTTCACATATTTACGATCAACGATGTGACAAGATCCCTTAAGTCATCTAGCATTTTTAAGTGTGGAAAGAGAAAAATTTGAAAGAATCGACTTTGGATGAAGTAAATAATAAATTTGCTTCATTACAAGGTAAGAAAAATATATACATAGTAAGTTAATTGTATTCATGTATTATATTATTGTTAATAAATATAAGTGCTCGACCAAGTCGAGGTGCACGTGATTGAAGCGAAGATGAGGGCAAATTAAAATTTTTAAGTTGGTCTGGTTGTGTGTCTTAACAATTTTAGATCTTTGGCACTCAAAGCACGAACGTGTCCTAGTTAGCTATTTCCTTTTGCATGCTAGGCCATACGAAACGTTGGCTGTATCATTTTTTTTTTTTCGAAGCCTTGATGCCAGGACGTGACAGACGATGTAACTAACTAAAAATGGCATGGCAAAATCCGGAGGGAATGTAAGGTCGAAATCTTGAATCCTAAACATCACAATTAAGTGAATTTTCCAGGTGACAGCTGCATAGGCTGCAGTTGAGATTGGTGGAAGATTTGCTTTTCAAGAGGTTTTGTAGTTCTGAATCCTGGTGTTATTCATCGGCAAGGGCAGGCAAACTTTATTGGCGAAGGAACGGCTAGTTCTTCAATACGAGACAAGGTGTCTACAACAATATTCTGCGAACCCTCAATAACGGATAGCTGTTGAAAATTGCCCTATGAAGTCTAGGTGTCTCATTTGACGAGGAGAAGTTTTATCCTGTTGAAAAGCATAAAGCATAAGCCTTTTAAAGGGCGACTGAGTTTTTCAGGGAACCCCATCGCCAAATCCTGGGTGTGGAGAATCCTCATCCTTTTAGTTCGAGCGGCCATTGTAGAGACATTAGGATATTTGGAAGCAGAGAGATTGAAAATTAGCAACCGCCTTCGCCGGAAAATCGAACCACGGACCTCTGGAGTACCGGCCCAGCATGCAGAATCACCAGACCACACCACACCATGAAGGCACACTAGGAAAGCGGAAGAAATACTTTATAAACGTAGAGTGATAATGGTTTAGATGCGGAAGGATACTGCAAATTTGTTGACGAAATTAAATCATTTTTGCATTTTTGGAACGCTTCGCAAGATTCTGTGGTCCAGGTTATAACGCGTTTATCGTTTTTCTTGCTTCCAACCAAAAAAGAATTTAGAGGTGCTTGTATGGTTACTGCATGAGGTAAGAAACGTCGATAAAAATTGAGCATAGCAAGAAATCTTAAGTTCGTCACTGTAGATGGTTCGGGCATATCGCGGATAACGGTGACTCTGGAAGGGGTTGAACGCCATCAGCGGAAATTTCATGACCAAGAAAGAATACTCTTGGTTGACCAAAAACGCATTTGGAAGGATTAAGACTTAACACCGTACCTTTGAAAACGTTCAAAACTGTTCTCAAATGTGATAGGTGTTCTTGCTCTGTAGAGGAGGCGATTAAGACGTCATCAAAATAAAGTACACGAAAGTCGAGGCCGATTAACACCTGATTCATGAAGAGTTGGCACGTTTGAGCAGCACTGCATAAGTCGAAAATCATGACCGGAAACTCAAATAGTCCAAAAGGCGTAATAACTGCAATTTCAGCTAGGTTAACAGCTGGGACTATCAGCTGGGTTAACGGGCAGTTGGTGATACGCCCGCTCAAGATCAAGGGTTTTGAAAATAACTTTTCCCTCTAAAACTTGCATACAGTTTTGAATGCGCGGGATTGAGTAACGATGAGAAATTGTAGCTGCATTTTAGCCGGCGATAATCGCCACTTACCATTTCGTTTCCGAACTAGATGGAGCGGACTGGCCCATGAACTTTTTGAAAGACGGCAAATTCCCTTTTCCATCATGTATTAAAATTCCTCTTTGGCGGCTTTAAGCTTGTCCGGAGCCTTTAAGCGTCTAAGTTTAGCGGCAAGTTGGAGGTCCTGTTAGTTTCAATATAATGCAGTACATCGTTCTTGGGTTCGGAAATACCCATAACTGGTGCGCGTGATTGTAGGGAATTCTCTGAGAAGTTGATGTCATGGGGAGTTACCCGAAATCAGTTTAATGCTCAAATCTTCACTATTGCGAATTACTCCCATGATAAGTTAAGTTGGTTATGGAATCTATCAAACGGCGATTTTTAATATCGATAAGCAAAGAAAATTTATGTAAAAAGTCTGTGCGTCAATAATAGGGCAAGTAGCAATAATGAATTGTCAGTTGGAAGTTGCGGCGCAATCCTTAAATCAACATATATCAGGCGTTCACCAGAAGTTTGAATAGGAGTTCCATTTGCTATATAAAGTTGTAACTTAATAAAGCGCTTTTGTTCGTGAAAATGTGGTGGAACTACAGAAACATCAGCCCGGTGTCTACAAGAAACCTTAAGCCCGAATTCTTTTCGATGACGAAAAGGCGTGCAAAATTCCGGCCGCTGTCATTCATGACTTCGACCAACGGCCCTTCTCGTTTCCCTGGTCACGGTGGGTGGCATTTGTTGGCACGGTGGGTCCCACGGAGGGTGGCATTTGTTTGCCTTGTTTCCAAATTTGTGGTGGTAAAAAACAAATACCCGGAGGAGGGCTTTCATAACGTTTCCTCAGTGGGTTAGGACGTGTATTTGACTACGTGATGTGGAGAGGTTGCGGTGAAAAGGTTCAGCTTGGATGGCTACTAACTGAGCAACCTGTTTGGACAAATCATCAATTTGAGCCTGTAACGCCACAATACCTGGACCAGGAGCCTGCACTGCGTGTATTTGCGCAGGAATGGCCAGTTCGTGAATTTTATCAGCGATTTCGGGAAGATTGTTTAAGTGGCTCGCTACTGGCCGCTAAAATGGTTTGCATGTTAGATGGGAGTCTATTCGTCCATAATGTTTTAAAAATGTTATCCGTTAGGTTACCGGCGGCTAAGTCTGACATTTTAGATAGCAACTAAGAAGGCCTTATATCACTCAACTGTAAATCGTGCAACAGCTGCTTGATTTTAACTATCTCGGATTCTTCATAAACAGAAATTAATCTTTTTTTAAAGATTTGTATTTGTCCATCGCCGGTGGATTCAAAATTATTTCACGAGCTGATTGCAGTACCTCTGATTCTAACGCGGCGATCGCTGTATAAAATAGAGTTTCATCGACAGTAATGTAACTCAATTTAAACTGCGCATCCAATTGAATGAACCATAACGATGGGTCTCGGCGACAAAAAGGCGGTGGCTTAACTGCCACTCGCGCCAATTGTGAAGCAGCATCGTTGTCAACCACTTTAGATCAATCAAATATGCACAGTAATAATATGTATAGAAAAATAATATGTATATAGTGACACAGTTTCTTGGTACTTGAAATCAGAGAATTTGGTGGCTCAAATGCAGCAAATTATGACAGAAATACACTCATGTCCATAAATTAAGGATAATTCGGAGTCACGCGGAAATCGGAATCTAAAATAAATATATCACCTGTAAAATCACTACACACGTCTTCAAGAATCATATGCAAATTTCAGGAAGTAACCAGATGACACCGATGGTACGTCACAATGACGAGAGTGTAAGAGAGTGATATATAAGGAATACAGGCAAAGAAGTAAAATTGTTCGCAGGCGCTTTATAAGCATTTCAGTGCAATAACCGAATAGTTTATGACACAAAGGACGCATTTTGGATGATTTTTTACGTGGTAGAATTATCGGCCGTCTGGAATGTGGGCCTACCCAACTGGAAGTATCAGACGAACTTGGAATTGCCCAAAGTGTCATCTCCAGGCTTTGGCAATGATTCCAAGATGATGGTAATGTGAGTAGACGTTACAGCACAGGTCGCCCCAGAGTTACAACGACGCCGAATGAGGACCGGTATTTGGCAGTTTACTGCCAAAAGAAACAGGCGGAGCACAGCCTCAGACCTGTCCGTCAGTCTCTTCAGCCACTGGTACGACAATTTCAAGGCAGACCGTGTACAGACGCTTAGGTCACATTGGTCTATATGCTCGTAGACCTGTCAGATGCGTTCCACTTACTGCAACTCACTGTCGCCTCCGGTTATCCTGGAGTAGAGAACATGCATTGTGGACACCGCAACAGTGGGCTTGTGTGATGTTTTCCGACGAGTACAGGTTTAGCTTGCAGTCTGATTCTCGCCGGACTTTCATATGGAAAGCTCCAGGTACCCGTTACCACCAAGAAAAACATCATTGAACGACACCGTTACGGTTGGTGCAGGAGTGCTCGTTTGGGGTGGAATTATTCTGGGTTCCAGAACTGACCTGCATTTTCAAATTGGAACCATGACAAGCCAAATCTATCTCGCAACTTCATTCTGGAACAACATGTACGTTTCTTTCTTTCGGGGCGCCATGGGCGCACAATTTGTGTTTATGGATGACAACGCCCGTCCTCACCGTGCAAACATCGTAAGTGAATGTTTTCAATGGAAGGATATCACCCGTATGGACTGGCCAGCATTCTCACCGGACTTGAATCCAGTAGAGCACGTGTGTGACATGCTTGGCCGACGAGTTACAGCCCGTCAACCTCCTCCTACATGTCTACCGGAACTTCGGAGAGCATTGCTTTTTGAGTGGTGTAATATCCCCCAAGATCAGATCGATAATTTGATACTCAGCATGCCTAGGCGTTGTACGGACTGTATTGCATCGTCTGGGAGACATACAATGTATTAAAAAATCATACCAACCATGTAATATTTTTTTTTTTTTTAATTTGCTCCAGGGAGAAAAAATCGCTATTTTTTTAATAATATTAAACATATAGCATCTTTTTTTGCTCTTTACCTTTTGTTTAATAAATAAGCTTTACAAATAAGTCAAATTTGTTTTGCTTCTAAGTCTTCCTTTGCCTGATTTTGCATTATCCTTAATTTATGGACATGAGTGTATATTGACTCATCGGAATGCGGCACAACGCTTGAAATCACAGGTGAAATGTCTTACTGCATCTCATCACACTGGATAACTTACTGGTGCTCAGAATTTTGACATATAAACTCCCATATTCGTGCAATATTGAAGATTGCTACTCGTAATAAATACGGGTCACCAATTATGGTAGTACAATTTTTTTAGACAGATCGTTAAATAATTATAACAATTGAATAGAATAAATATTATTTTGTTTTTGGTTGATATGGGTTACCAGACTGGCAGAGTTGAGTTGTAGTAGGCAAGTTGCCACATATCTATTTATCTATAATGTATCGTTACTTTTAATTGTTTAAAAATTGTACTTTTTAAAAACACTTGTATAAAATATGTAAAATAAATAACAGCTTTTTATCTAATTCTAGATCATCGTATGTCTGATTTTTTTCGCCGACACAGATGCATTTCCGAACCCAAGGCTAGTGTAGTTAGGTAGTGACTATTCTTAATATATTTTTGAGTATTTTATGGCAGATTTAGCATTTTATTATTATTTGCATTACTTTCCTATTACGAATATATTCTATACATTATATACTGAAAGTTTTTTTGGGGGGCGGGCGCCAAAAAGGTATTTTGCCCCGGGCGCCAGTTATGCTTGCTACGCCACTGCTACAGGGCTCAATATCAAATTAATGGAAACGTCAGATAAACTAACAGCAATAATGTTTCCGAGAATATTATTTAGGGCTTGCAGAAATACATTGATTAGCATTTTTTAATTCATTTTAAAAGTATTCTTTTTCTTAAGATAAAAGAAACAAAGGAATAATTTCAAAACCTCTCTCTCCGAGAAACTGATAACCGTATATAGATGCCCAAGTGTAACATTTGTTAAGAGTGAATTAAATTATACGTTTAATAGAAGTACCGCAGATAGGGCATAACAACATTCGTATGAATGGTCAAATTACATTACATTAGGTTATTTGAATATAAAAGCACACAAGCTCTGTCTGCTTAAAGGAAGAGTTACTTTTGTGGAGGGCTTTCCAAGGGAAAACTCCTGTTCATGTTACACTTGAAAATACCGTGAAAGAAAAACATGCAGGCAAGGCTGTTTAGAACGAAATCCCATTATTCACCACCAGTCTTCACCATTTGTATGAATGAGGGGGGATTCAAGAAAATGTTCTGATTTAACGCCGAATATGAACTGAACAATATAAATCGAGCTTTGATATAAACGTATTTCTAACATTCTAATAATAGGTATATCTCGTAATATCGCAAGAGATATCCTTTTACATTCACTAACCCTTCTTGCATCACAAAGCACTATTAATGAGACCGGTAAAGTCGTTGAAAACTGGAAGTTCGCTCTGAAGTTCGAATCCTGCAAGCGGGCTGGCTGCATGGGCGTTTTTGTGGTTTTTCCCCACGTTTAACGTGTATACGAGCCAGTTTCCATTAGAAAACCATTCGCGAAGGTATCCCTGCTCTTAAGCATATAAATGTCATGTGCTTCGTCGTAACGAAATAATTCAATACAACCAAGCCACTATCAATGAGATGCTTTGGTAGAAGCAATGAATATTTTACCTGAAGATGAGATAGGATTGACTTTGTAAATTTTTTGAAGTATAAATAATATATACTTTGTTATTTATAAGGAACTATTTGTATCAACCAAAACAATGTCTTATAGTGCTTACAAATTCCATAGAGTATTCTTTCCTTTAAAGTTCCCATGTGTTATCAGTATTGCTGTATCTGTTGAGCAAAATCACCGTATATTATTAGCTAAAGAGAAGTTTCATCAGGAATGAAAACTGAAATAAAATTGAAGAAATCATATACAATCATTTCACAAAAATAGATATTCAGAGAAAATATACTTACAACTTGCACAGCTCCTTTCTTAGGAAGATAATACTCAATGTCACCGAGAGTCACATGAGCCTTAAAATGAAACAGAAAAATTCATGTATGTCGCATTTTATGTTATATATAATTCAATTATTTCTAATTTAGATTATAAATGCAAAATAATATATAATCCTTTGCTCTTAAATTTTTTTTTTGTTTTTTCTGTATGCAACATTTTATTCTTTAGTGAGGCCCACAGGCCACTGCGCTTTTGTGAGCAGCCCGGTAAAAGCACATTAAATTATTTAAAAGTTTGCGGTCGGCAAGTTGGTGCGCGCCGGGTACTATTCGACGAATCTATCGCGTGATTTGTTGTTGTGTTGCGACTTGTATAGCAGTAGCATCAGAACAAGCCCACGAAATACATTGTGGTAAGGAGTGCAAGATTGCGCCTATCGTTGGCAAGAGCCTTAAGCACCATATAGGTGAAGCCCAACTTCAGTTCAGTTCCATCTCCAATTTTGAGAAAGAACACCCCGGGCGGACGGGTCCAAGGGCCTTCCATCCTTCATTCCTAACCACCAAACTCTCGAGAGGACCCTGGGTTAGTTAGAGTGCTCCTATGCCGCACAGTGACTATACATTTACAAACATCCATGCCTTCTCCGGTATTCGAACCCGGGCCCTTTGCTACGGCAGTAAGAATCGCTAATCACTATCCCGATCGAGCGGCCCAACTATATTCATAAAGGCATAACTACAGTCCGCAGTGATGCAACAGCATTCTATGACACCATCAAAAGGTGAGCTGCCGTGTTTACACTGGTCGCAACATCACTGAAAGATGGTCCCAGACTAGATCACAATATGCATGTGACCACCGAAGGAATAACGCTGAAGTCGGAGGATATAATATGATGGAATTACACGAGTGACAGTATCTGCTTTTGTTACAGAAGTAGGCATCCTTGTTAAATCATTGGAAAAGCTGGGGATGTCGAAATACCCGATGTGTACTACAGAATGTTCATATCATAAATCAATAATTTTCGGATCTAATATTCTAGAGAACTGCTTTTCATAATAAACGCAGATAAAACACTTTTGTTCGCGGTAAGTGACAGAAATGAAATATGACTTCGCCACTATAATCAGTAACAATACAAGAGAATCTTTCCCCGATCTTCACATTCAAAGCTCAGATTCTGTTGGGAAAATTTTGCGCGCGATTTTTTGGGATGAAGAGGGAACACTGCTTATTTATTACAAGCCACATGCTACAATGATAAAAGATGTTTATTACCGTAATCTGCTGATTCACCTCCGGCAAGCAATAAATGTAAAACGCTGTGCAAATTTGGCAGGAAATTAACGCTTCGGCGCACATAACTCATATTTCCCACACGTCTGCTCGATCCCATGTGGGCCTCAGCCCTTTCCTATCCACCGCATTCAACAGTTTTGTCCTAGCGGCATCTTTTTGATTCAAAATCCGAAACATCAGTTGCATTATTTATATTAGAACAAACATTAAAATTTGAAGCAGACTATTATAAATGGCTCGAAGGCTGTGATTTTTTTTTTTTTTTTTTTCCCCTTACTGAAATCCGACGCTTCATGGATTGCTATGCTAAATACACTGAAATCAAGGATAATTATGCAGAAAACTAATAAAGTACTTTTATTGTATTTATTTTAAGCACCTCTTCCCCGTTCTTTAAAACAGTTGTGCAATGCAATGACGCAATACGGAAGATCACTTTTTAAACGATAAGCATAATAAATTGGAAAGAAAATAAGTACTACAATAAAATGGGAAGAAGATTTGTAATTGCAAAAAAATTTACTGCTATCCTTCATATAATAAGATTACAGATTACATGTAGTTTTAAGTATTGAAATGTTGTCGCTTTACACGTGCACATGAAATTCGGTTAGATAATATATAAATAAACGTAAGAATGGCTAAGAGGTTGACATATCAAATATACAATTTCAATAAAATATAACCGTTTTACTAAACTTTATAAACTCAAAATACGACAAACTATACGAAAAGATTAGTTTGAAAAGAAAATTCATTATTTTATACTAAGCCATAAACAACATAAATAGTATAAAAACCTTACTGTAAACTGTATTACCGTATACAAAGTTGCTCCTTGATGTGGGCTTCCAAATTCATAAAAGTGTACATCAGCAGGTAGTGTCAAATGGTCAGGGCAAAAACTTCCGCTAGCGCCTATTTCAGCTTGAAAACCTTTCACTCTATTGACAGGTGGCAAACAACCTTTCAAAATGGATTCCTTGAAAACAAATTACATTGGCTTCATGTCATTTTCCCTTTAAAAGAAAACTGCATAGGAATTTCATGCAATCAATTCAATAACTGAAAATATTTACTGAAAACATTAATAAGCGCCAAGACAATAATCATATTTCTAGTGTATGGACGGTTGAGAATCATGGTGATATACATTAAAACGAAAGCAATTTAAATAGTTGAACTAATAATATTTCTACAGGTAAAACGTGCTGAGATTTATAGCGAAGAAATTCGTAGCATTATTTGATGGATAGAAAGACCCAGCACACGAGAATAGTAGTTCAGACTTAGCAGCACATTATTTCTGAAAAGTTGACTCTTTTTACCTCCGTTTTTAACATTTTACAGTCATTAATTTTGCAGTGTAAGCTTTGATGGGAAGTTTCTTTATTCTCAACGAAACGTTAGAGAAACATGCACATATTAAGAATGATTTGAAGATATTAAAAAATGATTCCAGTAACGAGTATCTTTACAGCCGCGGTTACAGAAATGAATTTTCTGTTTTAATGCTTGTAAAACTGAAGGTCTGCCAGCTGTGTGATTAAATATAAAAAACTGCTTATTGTAAAAGAAATTCAGGAACAAAAAGCTGCTTTCCAGATGTACCATCTTTTAAATTTGGTAAAATCTGAAAAGGATCATGATATTCCAACAATCTAGCCAAACACTAGATTGTGAAAGCCAATCTAAATAGTGTTACAACATATTATGAAAGACCTTCCTTTAACATAACTGAACAGCTCCACATAGAAATGCAATAACATTAAAAAGCTTCAACTAAGACAAAAATGGCATACAGTTGGGGAAGTAAGTTCTTAAAAATATGACTAAAACGTACCCACTTACCGAATTTAAAGTGACACATTAAAACACAAGGCCGCCTTTATGAGCGATAAAATCCTTAATTAGGTATGGTATTAAACGAGTTGAATTTTGCCTTAGTGTGCAACAGACTAAAACTGTATAACTGGAAGCGTGCAGGCCCCATACAGTCCACGAGGAAAGATGTGACAGAGTGAAAGATTCCCCGATACGAGCATATTTTTGTAGTTTGTCCTGATGGCATATAATACACAGATGCATAATGCACAGACAGATCACGAAGTGATTTCTGACAGTGTATAAAATACTTCTTATTATTATGTAAGGCATCAGTTAAAAAAACACAATTTTTCAAGCAAGTATTTGGAAATATAAGAGCGTCAGTCGATCAGTATCATTAAATCCCTTCCAGAACTTGAAATAGTTTGTTTGGGTCATACATTTGAAACGTAGACATATTTTAATATCTTTTTGAAGCTACTGGTATCGTGTAATTAATTTGAAAAATATGAAAATTTTTATATTGTAGTAAATGCAAAACATCACTTTCTGCAAAAGGACAGAGCACCGATCACGATGAATTTCAGCCCTCTATATTGTTCTGATCAAATTGTTAAAGCTAAACTGGAAACGCGTCTTTACCTGTGCAATTCTCAATTGAATTCCCTCTAACCTCACAAAAAAGAATGTCTTTACCTGAAGTTTATACAGATTAATATAATTTAACAAAGTAGAGATTATAAAGTATGAGAAATCAGGTAATTTACTGTACAGTTCATTGAATATTTATGAATTACAAAATTTCAGTTTCAACAAGCAAATATTTCTAGGCAAATGATTTTGCTTCATGTAATGATTCAGCACTGTTTGAAGCAAATTACTTTGCTGAATGTAATTTCAGCACAGTTTGAGGCACGAGAAGTAAAAGAATGCCCTGGAAAACGTTTTCAGCCTGCTAATTTAACACTCACATTGTGGGGACTATTAAATCATTTTCCTAAAACAATCCCTAATTTCTTCGCAAAGTCGGTTTAGTTTTACATATTATTATGAATAAAGCTGAAATAAATCTTACCTCGCCCACAAGAGAGTAAGACTTACTACAGAAAACCACTTGATTACCTAATGCCAGCATGGAGACGCGCACTGAAAAGAGCTCGATACTTTGGTTTTGGAACAGAAACTGCACTGTTTGTATGTTCAAGGTTTGAAAATGTGTGTGCTATCGAATTTTTGAAGAGCCACCAATTTCATCCTCAATGCATCCATATTACTTCTAGGACCAACAATGCCCGCCCTGTATGATCTTAATGGAGACGCTGGAAAATTCTAGCTCAAACAGACCGCGTAATTTTTAGTGCTGTGATAGTCCTTTCATGGTAGTGTATTTCTTCTGTGAGTAACGTTAATTGAAAAAAATGGCGATTTCTGTATCATCATAAGTTTCTGCATCGCTGAAAATCGATTCAATAAAATATGTATTTTCAACAGATTTACATTAATAGTACAAAATTAATTTTCATCGAGTATTCAGTATTATTCCAGTATTAACATATGACACACTTCGTCTTTGAAAAAGAATTCCAGGTATATCCCATTTTTGAAAAGTGTAGAAACAGTTACAGCATTCGAAGTCTCATACATTTCGCAACCAGTATGAAATTTCTGATGTATTTAGGAATAAAGGAGTTTCAGTTAACAGAAGTTAACTTTAACAGAGTGTTTTTATTATAGCATATTAATGGATCAAATGTTATTTTTTACAATAAATGTGTGCTAATTAATCTTCAGTCATATTACACAGAGTTACTTAAATGTTTAAGATAATTAATTTTATCAAGATTTCAGGCATACTGATGACTATTTTTCAATTAAATTTATTGTACAGTCCTCTAGTTTAAGTCATATAAAAAGTTATTTGGAAAATACTCTAACCAAATCGACTAAAATTTGGGATGCAGTGATACTGCATTTTAGTCCGAAAATTTTCATCTGTTTTCGGACGTTACTTTTGCCATTCTCTCTTATAAGAAACCTATTGCAGTTGAGTTACTTAAAAGTTATCGGCTTAATATTCTAAAAACGCTACTATAAAATTCGTGACTGAAGCGATATTTAGTACACCCAAGTAGCATATTTTTTCCAATACGTAGTTTTACCCATACCTTGGACTTGTCAGGAAAACGTGGAGACTCATAATTCGGAAAGATGATGCGGACTGCGAATGTACTCAACCATAACAATTCTATGTAGTCTAACCGAAAGGTTTTAAGAACAATTATTTTATTCAACATATACTATTCCTCGGTACTTTGTTTATGTAGAACGCAAAGGAACCTAATGAACTGTAGAGCCTGTAACCCGCATTTCTTTCTTTCTTTCTTTATTTTTTGAAATTTACGGTCCATCATAGCGAACTACGTTTTATATTGAGTTTTATGAATGATCCCCCCCCCGAAAAAAAAACTGTTTCATGACAACTCTTTTAGCTCTGCGGCCGCAGCGTTTCCCAATTCCTTATTTCAAGAAAGTCTCCAATCGCGTCATTCTAGTCTAACCTTCTAATATTTTCAGGGTTCAGAATGCGTAGAAATCGCTTGATCACATCAAGGTGGCTATACAGAAGACATGCTAGTGCTGTCCCATCGATATCAAACAATGCTGCCAACACAGCAATACAATGCAAGCGGGCACTGTCCTGAGGCTAAAAGTACTGTTTCTTGAGCGAATTCAGTCCTATTTTATGGCTACATGTAAATGAGTTTTTAGGATGTTTGTATAATAGACTCCGTTTCAGTATCATTCCATGGGCTAAAAACTTTGGCATCATCCATAACCGCTATGAATGTATTTCCGATGCGCACCTTATTGATCACTGGTAGATTATCGACTTTGAAATGCCTCGGCTATTAAAATATGGAAAACGGCTAAATGTTTCCTCACCGTATGCATGTTGGCACGTTTCAAGTACATTTTTTGGGAAAAAAATCGAAGCACCATGAAGGAAGTGTTTGTTTTTGATGAAATTGAATATGTGTATAGCGCATACACACATAATAAAATGATTAAAAAAATCAAGATCATAGTACCTGTTCATGGCTCACAATCACCCTTTGCGTGTTCAAATTAGCAGTTGGTCGAACCGCCCCTAGCGCCAATGCATGCTTGAACTCGTCGAGGTAAGGAGTGGTTCTAATGTCATCCCTGCGACATGTTCTGCCAGGCATTGCTCAATTGTCGCTCTAGATCAGCGGTATTTTGTGGTGCCCGAATCTGGCGACCTACTATGTCCCAGACATACTCGACTAGTGAAAGGTCTGGTGATCTTGCTGGCTAAGGAAGAGTATCAACAGTACGGAGACAGTCCAGAGATATGCGAGCGGTATGTGGCCTGGCATTATCTTGTTGGAAAATGTCCCGAGGTTGACGTGCCATGAAGGGTAATGGAACCGGCTGCAGGATGGTATCAACTTGTCGTTGAGCTGTTAAAGATGTACGGAGGATGGTTAAAGATGATCTGCTGTCATCAGAAATAGCCCCCCCCACACTATCACACCAAGGGTTTTGGCTGTATGCCTTTGTAAAACAAAGGCTGATTGGGACCGCTGGCCCCGTCCTTTCCAAACACGAACACAGTGGTCATCTGCGTCAAGAGTGAAGCGGGATTCATCGCTGAACACTATACGATGCCCGTCTGATGGCAGCCGTGATGATCGGCTGCGACACCAATCCAGACGACTCCGCCGATGTTGTGGGGTCGAACGCAAACGTCTTAAAGGCCTCTGTGAGCGTAACCCCGCCTCAGAGACAAGCGCCGTGAGATGGTAACGCTACCACGGGAGGTATATACGTGGCTGTAGTGCGTTGACTAGTCGACAAAGATAACGTTGGGGCGGTTCGGGCCTGGCGAACAATCATCCTATCTTGCCTCCCATTTGTGCTCCTTGGCCTTCCAGAGCCTTCATTTTGTCGGCAATTTCCTTGTAGCAACTATTGCTGCCAACATCTTTGTACAGCAGTATCTGCACGCTGCAGGTGGCGGCTTACTACTCGGTATTACCACCCAGCTTCCCGCAACCCTACAATGCGACCACGTTCGAAGTAATTTAGTTATCTGTAATGTCTTCGATTTTGTCGTAATGGCATCTTTAGCTGCTTCTTTACGGAATTACAATGGTAGCAACAAAGAAAGATAAATTTTCCGCCTCTGTTACTGGCTTTATACTTTGCGAATTGCGCACTAGAAATGCGTGCTATGATCGCAATTCCTGTTAATTTGCCTTGAAACGTTAATCATTTGCATGTTCGATCAAGATGTTTTTTCGTCACGATCGCAAAAGTCCTTCTTTTTGCTTCGATTTTTATGGAAAAGAGTGTAATTCATTACTGCTGCTCTCATGTTTAGCATAAAAGTCAACTACATCTCAAACGCATTTCACAGAAACGTCTTCTTCGTACGCCACGACAAAACGAACTAGATGTTTCCATTCGCAATGACCAAATATTGGGGTCTGTGGCTGTCCAAATGCGGGTTCAGACTCGTCCATATAAAACATTCACGAAACTCAGTATACGGTTGACGCGCCTAATACCGAGTCAGAAAGAAAAGCAGAGGCAGTCTTATAATTTCTCAGTCGGACTTTGCAGACTTTTTGTTAAATAATAAATATATCTGTCTTTCTAAATGTGCGCTAACGTTCTATAAAGTTTCAAACACACACAAGAAATCTTCAAGAATGCTCATATTGCGCACAGAATTGGTGTGAAGTGGTCAAGGAATTTTACTTGCGTTTCAACAAATCTGTTTTAGTTCTTACTTCTCTGCGTGAAATGCAACAACAAAATTTTTCGAAGTACAGTGAATGAATTAATTTGTAGAATAAAGATAACGAGTTTCCTAAGGAAAAATATGTATTTTTAAGACAAATATAACAAACCTCGAAATTTCCAAGAAGTTTTCTCCCTTTTCTAAATTTTGATGTATGTCTTGATAAGCAGCCACGGTTTTCATCTGGCAAGCCATGGTAAATTCGACTGAAAAAAAAGAATTCTCCGTGAATTGTACAAAGGCATGAATATAAGATTTAGTTAAAATTTGATTTAATGAATTAATTACAATTTATTAACATATATGTTAGTTACGTTATGTATAAATCAGAACAGTTGTCTAATAAATGGAATATCGAGAATCAATACTTCTGATTGGAGATGAGCCCAACATCGGCCGGATTCATAACATTACCGAAAACTTGTAGTTTGCGCCGAGTTCGATTCTGTTGGCTGTATGGAGTTTTCCCCATGGATAATGTTAAAACACGAGAGTTTTCCATAGTAATCGCCTACGGAAGATATCATTCTAAAGTAAATATTTGTGTACTTTGATGAAATAAGTAGTCTAACCTATTTGAAACGTAATGCTCACCATATGGATGGATTTTTGCTGCAATCGAATTTTCATGCAAGAAAACTGGTAGCATACGATTGTGGTAGCATTCAGCAGCTGATTGCGCAAAACACGAAGTGATATATCATTCACATTAAGTTAGTTGTACTGCTGCATAAGCCAGCCTAAGCATACAGAAAATGCAGGGTAAGGGCTCACTAAAATACGCTAACAAGGGCTTTAAAATCAGAAGGGCAGAGAATACCTTCATTTTAATACCTTAAAAGTTATCACTAACGCGAATAATAAAAATTGGTAAAAGAATAGAAAACTCTTTTAATCTATCGATATTTAATTTTATTTTGACATGAATCTTATAGTTAATCTGGTTTTCTAAATTCGAATTTACGAATTAGGTTTACTAACACTGCAAATAGTATTGCACTGGCATAGCTTAACATTATGGTGTAAATAAATGGATTAATACACGAGGTCCATTTTTTTAAGAATGGGTATGCCTTCGTTGAGGACTTTTTAAGGGAAAATGGATCATATTTGCGTTCACATAGGAAAATAGAAAAAACGTTCGTGTAGCCTCCCAGAATTTGAAACTGGATCAGACTACCAATGCGCAACGGTTTTCTTGCTTGGCTGCTAATGGAACCGCTTAACAAACGAAATCTGTGAATGTTATTACTACGTTCTTAAAGCCTATTCAAAGCTAAATTACAAAAATTAACAAAGTTTTTAGATTTTTTTTCAACAATGTGAGAGCAGAAAATTCTGAATCTAAACAAAAAATATTATGAATCATGAGAAGAGGGAAAAGACAAATATTAATGAATAGTTGATAAATAATTATGATTAAACATTTATAGGTAAGAAATCAGTAAGAAAGGAGGCTTTCATGGATAACTTTAGAAGAGAAGTTGGCTGGCTTTTACATATGAGAGAAAACCACTAACACACTCGTATACAAGATCCACTTGAACACCGGCAATCGAACTGGTATGAATTTACAAGAGTTCGTCGCTTTCAACTACTCTACACTTTTGGGCCAAATCATACGAATTATCTTTGAAAAGAAACTTGACCGCTACTGTTCTTTTTGATGATGCCAATTTAAAAAGAAACTTGAATTTGCCACGAAATAATTACAATTTATAAAACAAGCTGTAACTCCTGTTGATAAAATAACTATATGGGAATAATTTCCTTCGATCTACTTTGTTAATATAGTAAGGAATTTTTGTCTTCTCCCAGCGTGTTTTCATGGTGTAAGTGGTAGCGCATGCGGCTGGTGATCGGAAGACACGGAATTCTAATTCCGGTGAGGGCACAGCCCATTTTGTGCGTCTCCTACTCTCAATAATTTAACAGCACTACACTACGATACTCTCCTTATAGAGCTAAACTATCGACGAACAGTTTTTGCTACTCAATCATTGCTACTCAACAAAAGCATTGTCTTAAAAGCTAGTAAACAATGTTACAAACCTTTTGGTGTTACAGTCACTTGAATAGTGCAAGTTACTTTAGTGAAATTATAACTTTTAAGTCTTTCTTTAACAAGACTTTTCAATTAACTGAGAAGACTGAATGCATACTTTTCAGCAGAAGCTCGAAATTTCTTAAGAAATAAAGAAGTGTAGCATATTTATGAAAAATAGAATACAAAATTTCAGCTCATTCATTCATTTTAGATACAGTGGGTAATTAGACTGATATGGCAGACCATTTTATAGCTTTTATTCTACGGCAAGAAGCTCTTCTAAATGGCTTTCTCATGGTAATTTCCTATCAAATACTTGCTAAGAAGAAATCACTAGAATTCCATAGCTCTTGCCACTCGGTTTTTAATGAATCTTCGGTATTTCGAAAACACTTAAAAGAACAGCATATTTCTGAGTCTTACATAGAATCAATAAATGATAATAATTTAGTTTGTCAGAAGACGGTTTGCATTTATTCTATTTAAATCTGATTAGGAGTAATGGATTTTGTTCATTTTACTGTTTTAATAATTTTTGTTTTACCTATACAGTAGAAAACATTTTAGTCAAACTGTTCGTCAAATGAAGAACTGGATTAATTTTTTCATATTCCGAACAAATGCCTTCGTTCTGGTTCCTTTCAATTGTCCAGTCACAACAAACTGTCATTAGCCAGCTATTTTGTCTTTCTAGAATACACCTTCAGTAATTTTGTCTAGTGTGTAGCCAGTTTTGTGTAGGCCATCATCTCGTTTATATACGTACGTTTTATTAACTTTTGATACTCAATCCACTCAGTTTAACATACGAAGTTGGTCACCGTATGGCTATATTTCGTGGTATAGAAATATATGCGTGGTATAGAAATATATGCGGTCACATTTGCGGTAAAATTAAATTATGCGTTAATTAAATCCGTTAATTTAATTAATGCCATGATACGTTAATTTAAATTAAATGCGTTAATTAATGTTCATTAATTAAATGAACTAATTTGAGATTAAATTAAATGATGCATTAATTAAATGAATAATCTGAGGTTCAATTAAATTATACATTAATTAAATTATTTATGCATTAATTCATCAATAATATCTATCTGACAACTGCCTTCATGAACACAAAATTAGTTTTGCTGCCACAAAAAAAAAAGCAGGCTTCTCAATGAACTATGATTAATTTTTAAAATATAGAACATACAGGGTATTCCATAAAGACCTGCGCAGCCAGATTATTGGCTTGGAATACATAAAAAATGCCCAAAGAACTGTACCTGTATGACCCATGGTTTTCGAGATAAATGAGAAAGAAAAGTATGACGTCATATCCGGCCCAAGAAATAAAAAAAACTTCACTGGAAATTGGAATATCACTGGAAATTTATAAAAACTGAATGAATTTATGAAACTTGCACATATTTCAAATAGAAAGATGTTCAAAATGTCCACTTTGCATAACGAAGTATGCGGTTCGCATTGACGCATGCAGAGTTTAGGCAGTCTTCATGGAACATCCTGTTTTTACCTTAAAAGTTATGCTATTACACCAAAAATAATTTAATTTTTCTTTATTGATAACTGCAATTTAAAAAAGATGTCGGTTTTCAGAGTGTATTCCCTTCTTGTAATTTCTTGTTCAAAGAAAATAATTTAAATGAAGAATTTTGAGCATAAACTTTCAATCTGATAGGAAAGGAATTTTGTTCAACAAATATTTTAGTACTGAAGTACTTAATTAGTAAATTATGTAGAAATTACCCATTAATAAAATAAATTTGTAAATTATGCAAAAATAAATTATGCATCGCGTTTTACGTTGCATTTCATTTTGTTCAATAGCGTAAAAACCTTAGGTATTATTTCAGATGATTATTAATTTCACTAACAGTCCTAGACTCTTCTTGGAGGCAGCCTCGCAGCTATAATCATTTTATGTAAGCTCTATAAGGCTTTATTTTTTTAACATTTCTTTATCTTGCATCCATCCGAATTCAGCTTTCTTCGAAACAATAAAATTCATATAGGGTGCTCAGAAAAGGTGGCTACAGGTTTTAATTCCTTAAATATTGATGCTAAACATGTACTTCGAATTACAGTTTCCCAAAATAAAGGAGAAAATTTTAAGAAAGCAATTCCAGCAGTGGAAAGTAAGGATGCACTACAAATACAAAACTGAGCCTTTTGTATAGTGTCTTTTCAAGGAGCAGACCAGCAGGAAAATGTTTCTTAAGCTTTAAGAAATTAGAAACAGAAACTTCCATTTATCACGCGTCCAATTCGCAAATGTATCAGTTGCTAATAATTTTGAAAAGGCCGCATGCGAAATTAATACAATTACTATTTGACTGAATTTTGAGTCATCAATCTTCAAAATAAGCAAGTTGTGTTCAGTAATTCTCACTAAATCTTATCAAGATCTGTTAGAAATAGGCACTGAAAGCAATCTAAATTAGAAAATTCTTATACCTCCGCATGAATTTTGTACATAAATATGCAGATTTGTTTTTGTTATTAACTCATTATAACACAATTCATACAATACTAAATTGGACTTTTGGATAGCCGGGAACTGTGTAAGAAGTTAGATTTTTGTATGAAACTTCCCATTCACGATGGTGAAACTGATCGTATAAATGCCGGCACAAAAATTATACAGCGAATCTTTTTCTGAAATCTTTTCCTTTTCCTTTCCGTGAACCATGGAAATTATACAAAATATTTCGCTTAAAAAAGAATCCCACTTAAAAAAACCATCAAAATTCGTAACTAATGTTTTTCACATTTTAAGGCTGTATAATGTTAACATATCGTTATTTTCGAGGTAATTTTTCCCAGATGGTCTCGATATGCGCACAGCATCAGTCTTAAGAAATGCAAAACGGCACAAGCTGATAAAAAAACTTGTGATTCTGTAGTTTACTGAATCCGATGTGAAGTGAAAAGGCACCAAACTGGCGAGACGCTATAATTAGACATGCGAAAGACATCGGATGCAATCGCTCCTAGCAAGCTTGTGGTTCAAATCCCTGGCTACCACAATCACACGATATCATTCTGTTGGCATCTTTCTTCCGCTACTTCAGAAAAGACAAAGTATGCGCTATAGAAGATCAGGGGCATTCAGGATTTGCGGATCCGAATTAAACAATCTGCCGTATTCTCCTTGACACATGCTACAAGTAATTTAATCCCATCCATGATACGAATAATTTGCCGTGGGACTGAATACCTTAAGAACAACCTCAAGAACAAATTCCCGCTTTTTACAAAAGGATCACGTAGTGGAATTATATAATGTGGTAAATTACTCTTGATAATTTCATTTATGAATTCAGGTACATTTATTTTCATATAATAAAGACACTGAAAGAGGGAATTTTCGAAAGAAGCATTCCGTACTGTATTTGTGTGGGTAGTGAATAATTTAAGATAAAGTATATTCCAAGTCTAGCAAGAAATGCAATAAGGCTACTCGCAAATAAATTGCATCTGCAATATTCTCGTCTCTCTGTTACAAAGCTTTATGGCGTTGGAGAAGGAAACTGAAACACTTTCATCTCAAACCGAAGTTTCAGAAAAGCTCTGACAGCTTTGACTAAAGATGACATACGATTTTCTCCTTTCCTCCAGGTAAAATAATCTGGAATTTTCTTGTAAGGATTGAAAAGCATTCGAAATTATTACGCTAAACAAAAAAACAGAAGTGCTCATTCATTTAAGATGACTGATGTCATTTCAAAAGAGTGACTGATATCTTTTTATGTTTCTCGCATTACATGATTGCCATCTCGTTAAACAACGTCGGAACCAAAGAAACAGACGTCAGAGCTGTGGGGCTAACCATCAGATAAAAAATATACTCAGACGGCTCACAAAATTTCGAAAAGTGGTAGGGTGTAGGCCTTCTTTTGGAGATCAATATCGCAGCGAGTTTGCTTGGAAACCAGCGATACTAGTTTTGTTTAATTATTAAAGATACTTTAACAACAACCTTCTTTGAAAAACAGCGGTAACTTCATTTTGTGATTGTGGAGAAGGGAACACTTTTCCAACTTCATCCTCTAGAATAACCCCCGATATATACATTTTACGTTCAATCTGATAATCAATTTGAGATGAATAAATTGTACTGGATGTTGAAGATATACTGAAGCTCATCTTCATATACATGAAAGCACTCTGTCACCAGTTTTGAGGTGTGAGTTAGTGCATTGCCATCCTCACACAAAGTACAACTTTCAGAATACAAAGTTTGAACAAATGTGAACTTGCATCACAGACCATCTCTCAAAGTGATGTGATCTTCAAGAAGAATGGCGTTCCCCTTAGATACTGCGGCCCACATAGTAACCTGTCCACCTTTATGCTTACTCAGCACTAAACAGTCCTAATCATGTGCTTTAGAGAAATCTTCCATTTGTGGGGCTTTGAAAGTAGAATTATAGCTGAACAATACACATTTTGGATAATGTGCTGTCAAAGTTTTGGAGTCCTGACACAACTCAAACAGGCATTTAGCATTGACGCTGGTAATAAGTTTTCTGTTCGACCGTGAATATTAACTCTGTTAAGCTTACAACAACCACATTTAATAGAAATGAATGAATTTAGAGGAATATTAGTTCACTCATAATTTGAATTGCTGTTGTCTTATGTTTTTCATTACAATTCTCTTTAACATTAACATCCTTTCCAGATAACTTTCCCCAACCTGGGCAGTTATTCCGAATAGACAAAATTCTTTGATTTTCTGTGTGCACAAACATATTCTTGGTACTGTGACCCTTGGTATCTTACAACTATCTGCTAACTTAGCGAGAGGTAACCAGTTAAGCGACCACTAATAATTTATCCTCTTTGGAGCTCTGAAAAGTCCCCTTTTTTTATGTCCTATAATTTTCGAAGTTTGAAAGTTCTAATACTGCTAAAGTTCTAACTCCATACTTTGATGCTATAATTAGAAATCATCCAAGGTTTCCAAATGAATGTGCACATGTTGGCTTAAAAGCTGGAATGCTGTTAAGCATTTCAGTTTCACTGCCCAATTCCTGCAGGGGTGATCAAAATATGCTTTCATTTTAAGAATGGTGTTTGCTAGAATTTACATCTTCATGAAGTTGAAAACCTTGCTTATAAGTAAGATTCCACATACATATACAAAATGAATATATAACAATTTTTGATAAGCATAGGATTTATTATTTATATACACTGCCCTCGAAAAGTTAAGGAATAACATGCTTTTCAAAGTCACCACTACAAACATGTCAGTAACGTTTAAATTCACAGTTCATATTCGTGACAGTAACGAAGTTACTGTCATAGAATATATGTCATAGAAGAAATAGAATATATGTCATAGAAGAAAATATATGCAAAAACAATAGCTACAACTTTTTATTTTATAGAAACGAATACTTATATAGAAGTTGGAGCAAAAATTGTAATTTGTTCACGAGTATTGATCTTCAGTTTTTATTAAACTTTCCTGAACAATATCCAGGAGAAATCGTTTGCCCGATTCGGTGAGATGGCGGGAGATCAGATGGATGGAAATGAGAATGTCACAAGCTGATGCTGCTAGTCGTCTCCGATGTCTCTCGTAGTGTGGTCCACCGACTATGGAATCAGTTTGAATTCGAGGATTCTATGCTGCGAAAGACCGTTATTTAGCTCTTTCGGCCGAAGGAGAAGAAACATTAATGTGCCTCATAGTAGATCATTTAGTGGCAATAGGAACAAGAATCTCACTTACTACAGTGCGTAGATGCCTGCAAAATACAGGTCTGTATGCAAGACGACCAGTTGTGTCTCTTTCTCACGAAGATACAGAGGTGCCCGTTTATGTTGCGTAAGAGAACACGTCTCCTGGAAGAGTCAACAATGGGCAACTTTTCTCTTCAAGGACGAGTCCAGGTTCACATGAGAGAGTAATTCAGGTCGTGAGCTGATCTGGAGTGAACAACACACCAGATACAACCAATCCCACATTGTGGAAAGACACAGTTACAGAATTGGTGGAATAATGATTTGGGTTGGGATCTCTCTCAGCGGTCATACTGACCTGCATGTGTTCCAAGGAGGAATTTTGACTGGTGTGAGATGTGGCGACGAAATCCTTGATCAATATGTCCGCCGCTATTTGTCCTGGATTTCTTTTGAAGGACGACAATGCGTGACCGCACCGAGCTCGGGTTACTGAAAACTATCTGGAGGGTCATGGAGCAGATGGAATGGTCATCTCAATCCCCAGACCTGAATCCTATACAGCATCTTCGGGATTACCTTAGGAGACAGATTGCTGCTTTAAGTCCTCCTCCAAGGTTATTAGATAAGCTTGAAAAAGATTTACTCCGTGTCTGGTCGTTGCTTCCCATTTCACTGACCGACAACTTAATTGAGAGCATGAAAAGTCGCTGTCGCCAATGTACTGCAGCTAGGATTGGACACATTCTTTATTAGAAGCCATTTTTGTAATCTTACCACCCCATTTTCCCTAAAAATTTGTGATATACTGTTTCTCCAAGACTGGACTTCTCTGCCAAGAGTTCAGGTTTTGTTGTAATTCATGTTTGTGTTGAACTTTAAACATTCTATATCGCATTCATTAAAGAACTATTTAGTGAACATGTCCTGCAAATGTCTTGTTTCTATATTGCTTTATTCTCAAATTAGACACAAAAACATGCTGTTCATTATTTGGAGGATAGTGTATTTCTGTCAAGAACATTTCAACCAGACATTTCACTACACTCATTAGACGACTGTCTATCCCACAATTGTGGTGCACACAAGGTACAATAAATAGCCTTGCATTTAAATGTAAATTGAAATAAATAGATACATAAGTTATGATTTTTATGCAGTTGTAACAATAGTTTATGGAAACTGATTAATTTTAGATTCAATATACTTTCTTCATTGTACTTAAGTTATAATTTTATAGACAAAAATAAAACAATCTGCTATGCAAAATTCAATTTAAAATTTAGCATGCGGTGGACAATAAAAGGTCAGGCTTACGAGCACATATCAGAAACATCACCGGTTAAAATGGAGTTCCCCTGCGATTCAACATGCGATGAAATCTGAAATAAAAATTAATAATTTAATATCAGCACGCGGCCCAATATTTTTATTCAAAGTCACAGTAAAAACTATTAGATATATAAAAGCTTATCTTATAATCTAATATTTGTTTTAAAAGGGCTATTTGACGCAGTAATCTGTGGCTTGCATACAATTCACATTTAAAATTACTACCTAAGCAGCATGTAAAGCAAATTTCGGAACTTTTAAGATAAATATTGATTCAAATTGCAATATCTCCCATAATTTATGACAGCGCAAAATATTAAACTTCAGCACTGTGATGTCAATCATTGAACTGAACAATGCAATAAATATGGAAAGCATCTCAAGAAGCTAGACTAGTTAATGCAAATATGCTTACAATATCTGCTGTTGAGTTTTACCAAAAACACAAAATATTACCAGTTTAGTTGAATGCAAAAATTTAGTATAGACAATTTTCTGCTACAGAATAAACAATTTTAAAATGCTGCTTATTTTATTTAAAATTATTACAGAAATTTTGAATAATTAAAAAATAGAAAGCACATTCACTTGTTAGGACTTCATTTTATTCCTACCAATTATTTTTAGTTTTAATTTCCTTTCCTCTTTTCAGTTTCCTTCCGGAATGTAAATTTGTAATGACGAAGGTGCTAATCTAAGCGTGTTTCATAAGCTGCGTTTCAAGAGTAGCGGAGTTAGTTCCGATGTTTATGCTGCTAGTTTGAAATTAGCTCTCTAGTCGGTGTTAAACACCTTTCAGTTCATACTGATATTTCTAGGATCGGCGTTATGTCAAATTAAGGAGCCAGTCGTTAGCCCTCTTAATTTAATGTGCATTTTACATTTTTATTTTCTGTCAATTGAGTTAGCCACAAGTGGCGGTGAATTGTGAGCACCAAGTGCGTGCATCTATTTTATTTTAGTTCAAATAAAAAAGGTTATTTAAAACCTTCTTCTGCAGTATTTATTCTTCAAAGACATAACAAGCATTCGCTACTTTGTCTTGTACCACGTTGTCCACGTTGTAAGCTACCAAAAAGAACACGAAGATTCTATACACTTATTAGAAGTCTATTTCCCCCCCTGTATAACATGAAGTAAAAGATAAACTTTTTTTGCATTTAAAAGTATTACGTATACACTAGTTGTTAACAGTTATTACTATTTAAATCATACCTACCATGACCTGATTTGATAGAGAAGTACTCTGAGAAGTTTGAGGTAAGTTGACGTGAGTATTTTTCATATCTTTAAGGATTTGTTTTGGAGCACATCTTTGAGTGCGCTGAAAGTTCTGTGCATCCAACATTTTAAGTTTAGCGTGTCTTTTAAGTAAAATATTTGGCTGCCCACGAATGCTTGAAAGACATGCTTTATTTTGAGCAGCTACTGCAGTAAAAGTTTGACTAGTACTTTTAAGAGTATTGACTTTATCAAGCTTTTGCCTCTTGGACAATGATTTTTTATGTACTTTTATATTTTGCCCTGAGGTATCAGCAGGCCTCAATGCTTTACCAAACTGAAGCGACTCAGTTGCCAACTTTCTTATACTACTCATTTGACATTTTTGTTTAAAATCCTGAGATTTCCTTTTAGGACTGCTACATTTATTTCGGTGACATGAGTGACAGTTGCTCGATACTGAGCATTCCCGTGATATCTTTGATTTATATTTCAAGGCTGCATTCTTCAGCTTAGAACTCTGTTCTGTTTCCATACATAGATGGGTAGAATTATCATCAGTTTTACAGGAAGGATCGAAAGCCTTATGTTCTTCAGAGATACCTATATTCTGTAAAATATTTGTACTATTGCTCAATTGTACACTTTGATCATAGTCTACATTAGAATGTTTGCAAGGGGTAAATTTACTAACACTAGATCTTAAATTCTTAAGGGAGATATTCCTTGTCTTAACACACTTTAATGATTCTCTGCGCTTTAGGGAAAGTTTCAACAAATTATGAGAAAGCTTCAAAGAAGTTTTATTATTTCGCACAGACAAAACGTGATTGGAAATTTTATTAGGCACTTCACATTTGCTACTAGAAGTATGTATTTCGTGATTTAAGTCTAATATCTCATTTTTTACATTAGCTTCATTATCTGCTAGAGCATTTGGATTTAAGCAAAAACTATATGAGTATTCCATTTGATCTTCGGTTCTGCATGAATTTAACTGTTTTGATATTATTTTCTCTGTTGCATCAGTTGCATTGAGTTGTAAGTTATCAAAGTCATTGGAATTAATTCTTTCATGTGATAGAGATGTAACAGCTGATTCAGTATGAAGTTCTATACGTTCAGAGACATCACTGATCCTCTGAAATTTTACCTTCCTTGAGATACTGCTTGCTTTGCGTTTGCGACGTTTCTTTTGTGCACAATGACTAAGTACATGAACAGTTTCTGGAAAATTTGTACTTTTTTGTACATGTTTGATGTTAAGGGGAGATACATTAACGTTTCCACAAATTTTCGATGAAAGACAAGGTGTATTTGGCTTACAGACGTCATGAATGAGATCTTTATCGACTTCACTGTTTTGAGAATTTTCCTGGAAAGGTGAAAGAATCTCATTTTGAACACTTCTTTTTTCTTCTGATAAACTGATTTCCTCTGAAGAGGAGCTAATTTTTGTTGCATTTAGAACACACTGCTGAGGATTAATTTCCAAGGATTGCACAGTTTCAGAATTTCCTAAATTACCCGCCAAATGACACTTAAGGGAACTACTTAAAGACGATTGCAATGTACTCGAATAACACAGTCTATTGCAACATACTGATGACTCATTCGCTCTTTTTAATTTTTCCCTACATAAATGCTTGGAAGGTGGGAATTTATCAAAGGATAAATTTTCTTGACTAGGATTTCTTGAATAAATACTTTGAAAACGTTTATTTGTAGCTTTAGATTTGGATGCAACATTTAACAACTCATTTGCCCTCTTACCCTGAGAAATTTTCGGCACAGTATTGTAAACATTTGGTGTCTTACTTTGGCTGTTCGAATGCTTCAGAATTCGTTTAGCCGTCGTATTAGAAGCATCTGTTGGGAATGCTTTCAGATGAGTAGGTTGAGAAATTAAGATATTGATATCATTATTGGATGTCTCAATCATGCAGTCATTTACATTTAAGGCTGTTTGAGGTTGCGAATCATAAGATTTCAAAATCTGTTTAAGAGATTCATCAGAAGAAATGGTTTGGCGTAACTCTGAATCTTCCGCTAATGCTCTAAGAGGATATCCATTCAGCGGAGGATGCTTAGAACAAGGAATTATGGGTATATACTGAGCTCTTGCTCGGTACTGCACTCTGATAGTTCCATATAACCCTTCACTAATTCTACACACTGGAAAGGAATGTAGGTCTGGTTCGCATTCGAACACTGTTGTAACATCTGCAGAAAGTTTTATCCTGTAGAGGAAAAGATATTTATATATTAATAACAGCAAAACATTAGGCAACAGAAAATGAAAATTGATAAAAATATTATTTTATTGTTATACACAATAAAATAATTCTAATAAATAAAGATAACAAAATATAAGTAGTTATAAAATTATTAAAAAGATTAAGCTTTCTTTGGAGAAATTTTTCATTACAGTATATGGTACGTCTATATGATTCTGAAGCGAATATTTTAAGCACTAGATTGTAACTAAATTTAAATTCCTTGCATGTTAGAGAAAATTTTAAATGTTAAAATATTTATCTATTATTTTTTTTTAAATATCACATACACAGTAATCAGATGGTAATGTCCATGGGTATAAATTCTGTATATATATATATTAATTGATTAGCTTGAAAATAAAATTTCGACATTCTATCGATATGGATGAAATTATGCAAGCGAATAAATATAAGAAAAAATATGCAAATCGTTTTTAAAAAAAATCTAGGCCATTTTGCGAATTTTTACCAGGAAAAGTGCACAAAAGACTGGTAATGCAAACGGTACTTCACTCTAATAAAGAGAAAAGGTCGAATATAAGAAGGTTTGTGAGAGAGAGGATTATAGTTTTGTGAATTTGATATCAAAACAATATTACAATCCGTACAGACTGTAATGTTGCACGGAATGAAATACTGCCTTGACATAAGATTTAAGCACAGATGAACAAATGAGTAAGGTTGAGAGTGGCTGTATCTTGGGTTGAAAGAGGTTCAACGGAACAATGTTGAAATTTTGTATTTCAGGCCATTAGGCTCAGACTCAAATTGCATGCCGGCCGAATGCACAAACTGAAAGCAGCTGAAGAGCAGAATTTTTATTTATTTACTTTTATCAAAATAAGAAGTTCTTTAACAAAAAATATTTAAACTAAATTTAAATTAAACTAATTTTTTAAATAGTTATCTAAACATACATGATCAAGAATAATAATTATGCAAAGAAACAATTCCAGTTTATATATTTATTTTCTGTCTGAAATCTAACGACTAGAATCTGCAAAATTTCACTGTTGGTTATATTTTTTAATTCAAGCTTATTGTTAGCTATATATTAAATTTTCTGTCTGATACTTATTTCAGATTATATGTTGAACTAGTAAGTCAAAAGTAAGTTATTACCCCTAAATAACTTATTTAAACTAAAAATATATAAATTACGAAAATTTTCCAAGTGAGACAAAACTTGAGAATAAATAATGAAAACCTACTATAGTTTTTTTTTTGTTTATAAAACCTTTCTTTGACGCATACGAAAAAAATACATAATTGTGAGTAAATAATTATGAACTTTAATTTCTTCCAAAAACTTTCAGCTACAACACCTCATGGCATTTCAGTTTTGATGAAATTAATAATCTCGAAGAAAAATTACAAAAAAAAAAAACTATCTTTATCATGAACTGCAGATGCTCATTTGTCAGTCTGTTGTTTTTAGACATAATAACTTCCAACTTCTCAAAAAACTGATCGAATACAGCATTTCCAAACAAAGCGATTATTCTTATTGCAAAAATTCGTAACTAAGAGTATTTATCTCTGACTAAGAGTGAGGAAAAAGGTTAATATGTACCTTCAAATCTTTGAATAAGATTTATATCACATTGTAAATTAATTACCTTTATAAAAGATTATCTAGGGCGTTACTGACGTTCATTTTTAATGGCAATAAAAATGTAAATTGGACTCAAAATCATTAACAGTTTTAATTTTCTTCAAATTATTGCCATAATAATTAAAGTCATTATAATGCTAATTAACTTAAGCGTAATTGTCAGTTTGAGACTACTGTTTCAGACAGCAGCCTTATCGCATGTTGAGTGCCTGGGTAATGAGCGTTGCAAAAGGTCAGTTGGTCTACATAAGAGAGAGGACTCATGCTTGAAAAGCAGCAAAACGAAAAGCAAAAGTTTGGTTACAGTTTAGAAAATAACTAAATGTGGAGTCTTTTTATGACAACATAGGGAGGGGAAAGGTGCAAATTTTTAATCAGCGTACTAGCGGACGATACGATACGCGCACTTTGAAGAACTACAAGGATGAGAGAACCCGATAACAGAGCTACACGATGGAAGAAAAAGCTTGTGTTCTTGGGAAAAACCGCCCAGCAAAAAACGGATTGCTCCTTTTTTTTTTTTTTTTTTTTTACAAAAAATCAAAGAAAAATACCTTTACTTGTGTCACAAACCTTAAACCAGACTTCATAAAATGGAATCAGTGCAAATAGTATATGTCAGGGGTGGCCAAGCTCATTGATAGTCCGAGCCATATTTCAAAATTTGAAATTTTTTGCGAGCCGCAATTAAATACGTATTTAAAAGGTATGCCAAAAAAGTTATTTTTTTTTACATTTTTTTACAACAATTATATTTATTGAAAATATATAAATAAAAGTACAAAATATGTGTATTGAATTTAAATATTAAAAATTAAACACATTTATTTTACTTCTTTTGATAATTCTTTAAAATTTGGTGAATAATTGGTGACAGCACTTCTCAGTAATTCTTTGAGATGCTTGTTAGTTAACACTGATCGGTGTTTGGATTTCACGCATTTTAAAGTGGAATAAAATGATTCACAAAAGTACGTTGTTCCAAATATTGAAATAATTCGACAAGCAGCTTTTTTAATTCAGGATACTTCGATTCTGGCACAAAATTCAGTAATTGGTGTCGATTTATATTTTAACTGTAGACCTTGATCTTCTTGCATATCTATTAATTCCAATTCTCCAGACGCTTTTTGGGTCATAATCATATTGGAAACGGAAAACTCACCTTGAATTATGTTAATTTCAAATGGATTCAGAAAAAAATCAAGAAACGATGGACGGAAATGAAATTTGTTACAACGTTGCACTTAGTCTTTCATATGTGTTGTCTGTAATTTAAAAGACGTTTTGAAACACATACGAAACGATAATAATTTTTAAAAATATAACAACACAAAAATGAAAAGGGAACTGGGGTACATTTATCGAGAGCCACAAGTAAGCCTTCAAAGAGCCGCATGTAGCTCGCAAGCCGCAGGTTGGCCACCCCTGGTATATATATAGAAAAGGCTAACAGTATCTTTACACTTGCAAATGTTGCTTAGAAAAGGCTAATAGTATCTTTACACTTGCAAATGTTGCTTAGAAAAGGCAAACAGTATCTTTACACTTGCAAAGATTGCTTAAATTAATCTTCTAAAAATTCACAGAACATTTTAACAAAGTAAATCTTATTTCCTATATTTTAAGTGTATTCTAATTCATTGCGTAATAAAGTATCAGGTTTGTTAATCTAACGTAATTAATGCGCTTGCTTAATTTACTCGGTTAGTAAATGCAAAATAATTAATAGTTAACCACTTAATAAGTTGCTTAAATTAGAACTTTTGTTTCTCAGTTATTCACTTTTCGTCTTCTCTACATATGAAAATGGTTGTATAAGCTCAGAAAATTAAATATATATGCTTACACATTAAAAAAGTAAAACATTTCTCTTCATTTAAAGTAAATTTGTCTGCGCAACAGAAGATACTACTAATAAGTGCTGATCAACAGTGTAGTATTTCAAATTTCACTAAAAGGTATATTTTAGCTTAAGGTGCAAGTAAGTAGCCTAAACTAACCAAGTACGTAAAAATAAATAATTATCAATATTTTCCTAGCTACCTAATTATATCCACAACATGATCGAAAAAAACAATTTTCTGGTCAATATTCATTAGAAAAATAAAGTACATAATGATGTAAGAAATATTGCGTGATGGTAATGAATGAAATTCTTCTCAATATATTAAAGTAATATTCCAGTAAGGAACGAAGCGGGTGAATGCAAATTATTATACTAACTTACCAATAATAAATATTCGATGGAGATTTTCCTCTAGTGGAACTTAACCAGGCACTTATTTGGGAGAAATATAAAAAAGAACGAACGGCTCTGAGGAGTTGACTCACATCTATGGCAGACTGTGTTTGGCTGAAAAATGCAAGTAGTTTCATTAAAAAAATTAATTTTTTCTAAATGTTGATGTTGATTTTTAAATTAAGAACAAATTATATAAATGATCACGTTTATAGAAAGGGATTTATAAAGAAGGCTCTGAAATAAAAAAAAAAGCATTTTTATTGATATAATAATATTTAGGATGCTCCCATAACTTGTTGATCTGATAAATGAAACAATTAAATAGGCTTCAAATTGTCTCTGTATGCCTGTTCATCCCAGATTTAAAAGTTTTCCTACTTGAAAAGACATTTGATATGAATCAAAAATTGAGTTTATAATTTTAATTCCTTGTTTCGAAGTGCGTATTTAAATGCATACACAAATAACCCACCTACGTATAGCACAAATACTCTGAAAGTACGCTTTGATAAAATGCAGCTAATTACGTAAAATCAGCCTACGCAGTTTCGACACAACAGGACTTAATGCGAGCAACCTTCGTACGCCTCCAACGTTTTGTATCACTAGTTCACAGAAATTTGAGGGAAATCTATACTAGAATCCTCATGTTTTCTTAATATCTAAATTAATGTAAATGTTTTAATGAATTAAAACGCTTGAGTTATAAATAGATTTAAGTATGTAAAATTCATATGGAACACAACGTAATGAGGCCATAATAATAATAAAAAATCGGTTTTAAGTTCATAAATATTTGTGCTTCATGTCTTCCGTGTGACACATTGTGACTCTTTAACTACTTTCGGAATGCGGATAATTGACATAAAATTCTGTGACCGATACTGATCTTGTTGAGGTCTGGTTTAGTTTTATTTGATTATAGCAAAATACCCTAGAGCTATCTGCCTAAGGAAATGAATGCCTTTGTGGAGGACCTTCTAAAGTAAGGTAAAACTATCGTATACAAGTAAGGTAAAACTCGTATACAAGTTACACATGGATGCTGCTGAGGAAACCAACCTCAGAAGTTTAGATGCAATACGAAAACAATCTAACACAGAGCATTCATTCAATTATAACATCGATCAATGCAGCATATAACGAATTCACGAACAGATGTTTATAAAAATCACAAAAACACGTAAATGTGTGTATTGTAATGTAAATGGTTTTATATAAGCGATCAAATAAATTTTGAGTGTTAAACACAAAAAGCATATAACCCTTGTAATTCGAACAATCTACAGACATTATGACATGCCAAATTGGTGATAAGGATGAAAGCATGAACACTGAACGTGGTGCTCAGAAAATTACTCGATTCAGCTGTGAAAAGATGTCAGGAAAGAAAGCATTGCTACATTTTCCGATACCAGTGACTTGGAATAATCACATTAGAAATTATTACTTTGTAGCCCGCCAGCAATAAAAGAAATTAAATTAACGATGCAAAGGTATGTGGCAGTATCACAGCATAGATCTCGCAATCACTTCAGTACTTCACAGTGATATATGGTTTTGATATGCCAAGCCACCTGTAAACTGTATTTTGAATGAAGAACTAGAAATTCCAACAAGAAGTAATAAACATGGAAATGGACACATATTATATTCTACAATCAGAGGAATTTCTAATACTTCATGTGATCACGCAGTCAGAGGTCAATAATCTTATTCGTGACTTGGAATTAACCAAAAATGAAAATAAATACATTGGAAAACTTTCAGAAAATATCAGAAATAGGAGTTACGGTTTAATAGATTACAGCAATAATAATAATTTTTCCTACGTGCTCCACCTTCAGGCACTACATATGTTTACTCCTTTACCTCCGTATTTGACGGGAGGTGGCCTTGCATATATAGCTCCTCGGAGAGTTTTGAAAGTTCACTTGCCAAGCACCCCTGGGATCTCACTCAAAGAAAGGTGAATTTATTAATTTTGAACTCTCTTACTTCCGACGCTACACCTGCTTCACCTCTCCCGTCGGGCACGAAGCTCGCGAAGGTTGTGGTGTTTATAGAAACTGTTTTTTCCCATCGAGCTACCTACCCGGATGGCATACCCTCTACCCTTCGGGACAGCATAAGTTGCTGTTTTGAGTAGTAGGAGCCGGGTCTGTGAATTTTATGCCTCTAGTTACTCTAGTACTAAGAATGTCAAAGTATGGAGTTACACGTTAATTGCAACCAGTCACACACTCACCGGCGACAGCTTTAAAAGTTTCACCTCCCAACCAATACGACCGGGATCTCGGGGTCACCACTCCATATTCTCGGTCTTATGGAAGGGTGTGGCTGTAGTTTTTAAGCCTGACACTCTTACTGTTTGTCGATAATAACCCCCCCCCTCGACAGTACTACGCGGGAAGCTCCACACTAAAGGGTTTACATGGAATACGGATCGAACGGCTAACCTTGACCGCTACCGATACCTTAGTTTGGAGACTTACAGCCAATCCCTCCATAGTCCAGTTTTTTCCCCCTAGAGAGCTAATGCCATAGTAAAACTCCTGCTACTGAATGCAACTACACGGGCTTGAGTCCCAGCTGAATACCCCCATATTAGGCAAGGTGTAGTAGTCCATCCAAAAATCACATGGGAAGACACAAATTCACTTGCCGTGCGTCCAGGTTCGACGGACTTCTTAAAATTCCCCCTTACCTCACTTTTGAACCGGGTCCGACGGTCACCAGTCTATATTCTCGGTGTTACTTGTGAGGCGTCACCTAGTCGCCTGGAAGTCTCACTTGTCCTCAAACTGCTCCCACCAGGTACTGGTGCCATCGTTTCTAGGACTTACGCCATTCCCCCGGATCTGACCATAATGAAACGATCGTCTCAGGGTTCTGAAACCGCCAGGCTCGTGTCTTTCCACCCCCGTGGCCAAGACTGCCTAGGTACAGATCCTAGCCAGTAGCTTCACATGTTTTTCTGCGTCAACCAACAACTTAGCGCAATCTGCCTAAGAAATAATGTCGTTGTAGAGGAGTTTTTTTGAAGGAAACTGGCTTGTATTCTTACACATGGGAAGAACCAAGAAAACTTACAAAGCCAGCCCGTTCGCTGGGATAAGATACGGGTCGAACTTGCAGTGTTCAGCGGTTTTATTCGCTAGGTTCTAGGCAGGCTGAGTAGAAATTATTGCATAATAATATGCAAGGTGTTCAAGAACTATGAGACAAATTTTAAGAAATCACAGCGAAACAATCATTTGTGTCAGTGACTACACGTTTGAAAATGACATGAAAAGGTGCTAGATAGCACTTGCTTCCCAGCAAGTGGCAGTTTCACAAGCGTAAATATGTCGCAGCTTCAACTTCCAAGATAATTTATCAGTACGCGATTAGAGAGAAAGCCGATATACGGTTATACGATTAGAGAGAAAGCCGATATACGGCTATACGATTAGAGAGAAAGCCGATATACGGCTATACGATTAGAGAGAAAGCCGATATACGGCTATACGATTAGAGAGAAAGCCGATATACGGCTATACGATTAGAGAAAAAGCCGATGTACGCATATTGACTCAAATGGAGAAAGCCCCGCGTTTTTCACCAGAGTGTCATGTGAAAATTGCTGCAGGAAATCCAGCAGCCAACCCGCAATTCATGCTTCTAGCACGATGAAGTAACAGCTCTTTTTCGAAAGATGTAAGAAACGATCTGGATGTCGCCTTTCTAAGTTGTTGGATTAGGTGTTGGTGGTCCCACAATTAAGCTTTTCTTTGATATACTTCGTTGATTGAGCTTTTAGGCAGAGTTCTATTCAAGGCTAATGGCTATGATACAAATTTTGGAATTTTCCTTATTCAGGGAAAGAGGAAATAGTGAATCATGTGGGCTTGGGGTATATTGTTGATTTTAGGGAACGGATCTTTTATCCTTATCGATTTGTTTTGAGTTTAGATGCTCTTTAAGTTATGTCTTTCGAATAAAGTTTCTGCATTATTTAGGTCTTTTGCAAGACATAGAATATTTTTCATAAAAGTTATTGCACCTTCATTTATCAATCATCTCAGAAGTTAAGTAATAACTATAGGTTAATTCTTCAGCTTTTTGTTATTCACTTTTAGTGTCTTTATACTGTTGAGAATTAAATAATTATTCACAGTTATAAATAGGCAATTAGAGAGAAAGGCCAAAACTATGATATTAATGTTAGGTATATTATCGTGTAAAATTATTAACGTATAGTGAAACTGGAAAAGAACAATCAACGAATTTAGTAACTGCGCGCAACAGGAAGAGTAGTCGTAATTAAATCTTAATACGATTTTTTTAATTAGATTTATTATTCATCTTTTTGGGCACATGTGACAATATTAATTAGTTTTTTTTCGTGATTTATCATTCTTTTTTTACATATTTTTGGGAGATAATCCATTTCTCTTATGGAATCGGATATAGTGAGACAAACTTCCGCTCCCTTGGATTTCATTATAGTGGGATTCAACTGTATATAAGCGATGATGAATTTGAGTTCGGTCCAGCTGACTTTAAATGTGAAAGAACACAGCGATGCCAGAATCAAAATTATAGTTGGCCGAGATGTACTACAACAGAGAAAAAGGTTAATATTACATCATTTTTCTCACCTGTATGTACAATCCATAGACCATCTCTCTAATAGTATATATTCTTTGTTTTGAATATTTTCACACAATTTCATTTCTTCGCAGCAATCAGGAAGCATCAGGACTTCAATTTCAAACACATTCTTCTTCAAAGCCCGTAATAAACGGTGGACTAGTCGTTGATGCTTTTGGCACTGAAAGAGTGTAAAAGTATAAAAATATTTATCCCGTAAAGTATAAAAAGGAACTTGATAGGTTAATTTGCAAAATGAGCAAGGAATTTTGAAAAACAAATGCATATAACGCACACTCTCACTACTGACTTCTGCATGAAAGTACTTTTAAAGTTTGAAAGTACTTTCATGCAGAATTCATCAAATTTCGCACAAATGTTTTGCACTGTCTGATTACTTCCGTATAACACCGAGTAATGAGAGATACTACAGCCGATGTTAATTTAGAATGACCGCTCATTGCAACGACCGGTGCAGAAAGTCTCCAGCTGATAAGAATATATCAAGTTCACTTTCGTTATAGCAACCACGCGTAATAACGTCCATTTTCTTTAGTAACAAAGGATTGTTATAATGAGCTTCGACAGTATCTTGATAAATCTTCCAAGACGTCTTTAAACTTGCTAATGAAAGAAAAAATTGTGTTTTCGGAAAAGAACATATGTATTATTTGTTCTTATTTGGTTATTTCATCGATAATTAATTTTGAGATCTTTCATATAATGCAAACTGGTCTCAAGCTTTTCTGAACTTTTTTACTAGCTTGGAATATATTGATTACAAATCTCTCACTGTAAGCTAATAGTAAACATTAAATTAACTAAATAAAATTAATTATTACTAGCAAACATTAACTTATTAATAATAAACATTAAATTAAGTGTTCTAAGTTAACAAATGTACCACTTTTGATCTCAATTCTGAAATCAGGAAAAAGCGAGAAATTGAAAAACTTTTCTTAAAAACTGATTTTTGATTACAAAACACCTACTAATAAAATCAGTAAAACGAAAATGGAAAACCTGCTTTTAAAAATTAGCAAAATTTAAAAACTAAGAAATCCATGATGCTTAACTTGCGAAAACATAGAATAGAGGTCTATGGAAATGCAGGGTATCCGGGAAAGAAGCGATGAAAAAGAACGATACATATACCCGAAATCAATGTGTCTATTGCATTGTGATTTGTATACCTGGAAAGAAGAACTAAGAAAGTTTTGATCGCTGGGAAGATTGCACGCAGCAAACTTAACCCCTTTCTGCAGCGATTTGGACCTTTTTTTAGATTTCTTTCTATGTGCAATTGTGAAGAAAAGACTGTATCAAACGCCTTTGGTCTATGTTCTATAGATCTGCGGGTCGAATTACAGAGGCGATAGGACCATAAGTCTGCTCACATCAGTGACGCTTCAAACGTTACGAATGAGACAGAGTAGCGTTTCTCAAACTGTGGTCCGTGGACGAGTAATTTTCAAAGCCTGGCCTTGTCCGAAGCCTCCAACATTTGAACAAATGTCCTGCTATTTGTAAACAAAATTAACATAATTTTCCAGGATTTCTTGCTGATAACATGTAGCTAAGTACAATAGCACACCTTTCGTAAAAGTCAACGAACTCAAATTTCATTATATTCTCAAAAGTAGAACTCAATCTCTGCCTCAAATTTCATTATATTCTCAAAAGTCAATGAACTAAATCTCTGCCTAAAATTTCATTATATTCTCAAAAGTCAATGAACTAAATCTCTGCCTAAAGGGAATTTCCTTGACTGTTTTCACTGCCCATGAGAAAATGAAGAGGTTGTTGTCTCCTCCATATTTCAACCTTAGGTGTGTTGATGTGTATTTAATTATGGCAAAGAACACGAGGGCTATCTGCCTAAGGGGAGGGATGCCTTCGTGGAGGACTTTCTAAGGGAAACTGGCTCATATACACGTTACACATGATTTCAATCTTAGGATCTTTTTAGTAAATTGTATTGTTACAAGAAAAAAAATTATGAATGGCATCATATTCGAATCTCGAAACTCTGAGGTCACGATCTATAACTTATTTCGAAGTGGTTAACATAACGAATATTCACAAGTTTTCTTTAATCTTTTCTATTGCGATTCTCAAAATAACAAACTGTCATTGAATGAAACAGAGCAGTTAACTGAACTCTCTAACGACACCGGACTTAAAATGAAATTCTAAGCAGAAGGTATGGTTAATTTTAGGACCTCATTACCAGAGAAAACGAAACACTATGGTGCTTAAAAATTATCATTCAGTTTGTTTCTAATTATGTATGTAAGAAAGGATTTTCATCAGTAGCTGAAATAAAAACTAATTATCAAAATCGACTTGATATACGTGCAATCGCAGCTTACCAGCATATATCTAAACATGGAATAGCTGTGCAAGAATTGGCATGCTCATACATGCCATTAATGTGACTCCCAACATTTCTTTAATTTCTAGTTACTAAGCTAAAGATTATTCAAACTTGAATTATTAAAACAAATATAACTTTTTCTATTACCTCAACTGACTGATACAATATAAAATTTAATGAATAGAAATATATAATTATACTGGTAGTCACATATCGTAAAAAATTACTTTCGAAGGTGGAAAAGAGTAAGGTGGGCCGCAGAGCATTCTTATTTATAAAAGTGGTCCCCATTAGAGAAAAGTTTGAGATAGAGTATTGCCAAGAATATAACCTGAACCACAAATGAAGCTAACAGAAAAATTTACTGAGACCTTTGAAATAATTCCTTCCACTATGTAAATTACAATGTAGGAAGCAGATTGATTTCGGATATAGTATGTGTCATTCTTTTCCACCAATTCTTTCCTGTACACCCGTCATAGCTCAACTGAAAGGTGAAGTTAACAGGGTACATGCCACATACCCGACATATACGGATTCTCCTCACTAGTCATGTTTAACTAAATCCGTATTAATTGAAAAACAACTGTAAAACTAACTACTGCAGGTAAAACTTTTACAGTAAGTTTTAAAATTTAGAAAAGGTAAAGTTTTTTACAGCCTGAACTGCTAAAGAAGTGCCTTACATAAGTACACTATACGTAAAGCTTGGATTTGCTAAGTATCGCATAACCAAGATAAAAGAAATTTGAAATGAGTAGTATTTTGACGAAAATGAATTTAATCTTTTTGCCTCGTATGTCAGCCATAAATTCTAAAGAAAGCAAAATATTGAACTTCAAGCAAGGAATCATTGTTAAAAATGGCAGGGACAGTCAAACAGTTAAGAGCTATATTATGGAGTAAGCAATTTGGTATTCATAAATTGTAAAATAAATTAATTTTTTATACATAGATAATTTAAAACGAGATGAGAGTAAAGTACTGAAAGTACAAAAGATTTTTAGCTATGGCACTGCGATGATCAGATGCATAACGCACATATATGTAAACGTTGGGCATTATATAAATGTCTCATTACCATTAAAACCTCTTAACAAAGTCGCACAAAAATATATGAAATTATATATACAGCAACAATAACGTCAGAGCAAAAATTTCTAATGAAGAAAAAGAACCGAAAGACATTTGCCCAAGAATGAGGAAATAATGATTTATTTTTTTTAAACTTCACTGCACATAGTTGCGTCAGTTCTTAATAGATTGATAAACTTAATAAAAAACAAATGTAGATTCTCAAAAAATTTGTTTCATTTCAAAGCAACAAATTTTTAGCCCATTTTGCACGGCAACTGAATAATTTTCTTAATACTGAAATTAGCAATGAAATTAATTTGTCTTCCATTATAATTTAATTTATGCATTCAAATAAAGCTTTTCTTAAGATTTTGTATTAATGAGTCTAAAAACCGGTTTATTTACGTTCGCGTTAATCAAAAGAGCTTTTCCTCTAATTGCAAAATCTTTTTCTTTAACGTGGTACCTAAATATTCTTTTGCGAAGTTTACATTAACTCAAAATCTCAACTGGCGTCAATATTCTCTGAAATATTACGCAGAATTTTGTTTCAAACTAAACTTCAAAAGTTCTGATATGCGTTGTTAAAATTAAATGCAGACTCACTATATTTCTAAATAGGTTCTATCCATGATACTGTATAACAGTACCCAGATTTGTGTCATTTTTAGGTCAAACGGAATATGCGACCATGAAACGTTTCTTGAACATCTAACCACATTATCATGTTTGAATAAAAAGGAATGGGTACCATAAGCTCTCTTAAAACTTTATCGATCTAAATAATCTCAGGGAAGAGAACTATAAACTAAGTAACCAATTCGCTTAAACAAAAAACAATGTTGTCATTATTTTACACGTAATTAAATAATTCTACTCTCGCTGGCGAAAACAGTTACGCAAGTTATAATTGGAAAACGAATATTAATTTTATTTAAGTTTTATTGAAAGTTTTTTTATTAAATATTTTTTTAAATAAAAAGTTCTTAAGATGTACAGAGTTCTATATATAAATGTATTATTACCTCCGGTTTCGAAAGATCACAGCAGTGAGTATTTGAACCTAAAAGAGGAGGACAATGAATTCCTGCTCCGTACCCTCGATCTGTTACGCCAGGACAACGAGATTCTACTATAAGATTGCATAAATCAATATACAACTTCCGGAGTATTGATTTGCCGTCGCCGGAACCAGGTTTCCCTTCTGGTTCATGGGAATCAGGCACAGAACCTAAAAAATAAAAATCAAATAAATAAAGCGCATTAAACTGCAAATAAATAACTAATATACTATGAAAACCTCAGTCTTTAAAAAAAAAAAAAAAAAAAAAAAAAAAAAGACTCAAAAGTGCTTCAAAGAATTTCTTATATAATTCCACATTTAAACACAATATGAGATGAAGCTACGATAAAGTTTCAATTAAAAAAGTGCGAACAATTCATTATTAGTTTCAGTATGGAATCAGCGTCATAAAAATAAATAGGCAAATGGCACTCATAAAACACGTCATTCATAAAATCTAGAATAGTGTTTGATCAGTTGTTAGATTGTTGCATATTCTGAAATGTAACAAAAAGAAATTTTTTAGATAATACAAAAAACGGTAAAAAGACAATATGAATCACTGCAATACACTGCTTAGATACGTAAAATCGAATATTGTAATCAAGAAAGTACTATGGCGATTATATAAAACCTCGTAGTCTAACATACCGTCTAGTTTGAAAGTGGAAAGGGTAGAATTTGTTCGTTCAGATATGGCAAAGGATACAGCTGTCCAGGCGATTGGGATGCTTTCGTAGAAAACTGAATTGTAAATTGAAACACGGGGAAAATCTTGAAAACTCTCATGCAATCTCCCGGTTCGCCGGGATTTGAACCTCGATCAAAGAACTATTATTTAATCGAACGGCGTGCACTTGCCTTTTCAGCATTGGCCACTCCTAAGGACGGAAGTAGTGGCCATTTTATTGTGGAGGCACCTTAAGAAGCGGCTACCGTTACTTCCTATGAAAGGACAGACAATTTACATCCATGCCTCCTCCGGGATATGAACCCGGGCCCTTCAATATCGCAGTAGGCTCCCCTAACCACTATACCGTCTGGGCGGCTCGAAGAAGCATCATAGTTCTCAGTAGTTTTACCCACTAGCCCACTGTTGGAATAGAAATGTAGATAAAAGGAAACTCATCTCTGGGAAGAAACAAAACTGTAATTATTTTGCGGATATAAAGGGAAATTACGCAGAAGAATGATGAGTAGGTGACTGTGTAGAATATAAAATAAGGTTGGTGGTTTGACGTGATTACGGCAAAGCCTCGAGGGCTATCTGTTAAAGTGGAGGGATGCCTTCGTGGAGGGAAACCAGCTCGTATACATGCACCGGACCGAACTACCAGTGTTCAGCGAATTTACCGCTCGGCCGCTGGTGGGCGAATATAAAATAAGAATGACTTGTTAAGTAAAAGGTTCATCAGACAAAGTTAGACTGCAAGAGTCGAGTCAAGGTTCTAACAACATCACAGATGATTACAAGATCACGGATATAACATTATTACAAACGCACATAAATATTTGTATTACTGTAAATTAGTATGAGCATTTTTTTTTTTTTTTTTTTTTTTTTTTTTTTGTTTATAATGGATTTGCATATATTTTTTCATATCGTTATAACAATTTTAATACCTGTTATGCACTGGAAGTGTATTTATTTTATGTTATTTTATGAATAATATAATATAATAACCGGTTTTAGATTTTTAATAGATCCATTAGAATTAAAAATATGCTTTCTGAAAATTTAATGGACTTCCTATAAATTAGCTATATCAGGCAATTTTTTGAAGTTTTTAAAATTTTTGATTTGGAAACTAAGTTGATCGAAGCGAAAAATTATGGAACTCAACCTCTTTCGCGAAGATGATTGATTATACATAAATGATTCGATGTAATTAGAGATAGTTTTTTTGGGGGGTGCAGTAGAATATGGCAGTTCAATGAAAATATCTGCGATTCCAATGCTGCCTTTTTTACACTTAACATTATCTATTTCTGCAATGTGTTTCTGAATTTTCTTTTCCCTTCGGAGCTGCGGTATTAAGGAATGTTTCCTTGTTTGATGAAGAGTTATCTGCACTGATAATGAAGCTATCTGTACTTCTTCCCTAACGGCACTGACTGTCATTGTTTGGAGGTTAAGGTTTGTTGATGATCGGAATTCATTGAGGAGGCAAGACCTTTATTACGCAACGATATTTGTGCGAAACGTTTATAAACAGCATAGAATCGTATGAAGATCATTTTGCGCGGCTTAATGATGGGTGAATAAAGAGGAACAATGCATTATAAATATCAGCATAGAGTAAGTTATAAAACGGAAGCTTTATTTTAAATAGCAATTTGGCTGAAAAGTCAAGCTTCCTAAAATACGTTAGAGTTAGTTCTATTATTTTGCGATGCTTTTACTCTTAGTTTGGCAAAATGTTGAAGTTTCTGAGCAGAAGAAAAGAAGTGAAAACTGGAACAGGTTTCTACAGGGTAAAGATCGCAAAGAATACCATAACTGAATCACCGGTTTCAAGATGGGAGACGACAAATCTCAAGTTCATCTTCCTAGGAAAAGACCTTGATTTTCTCGCTTCGAATGAACTTTTTTACGTCTAAAGGAAGAGATTGTTAAAATATTATAAAGGAACTTTTTTCCCCATTTTTTAAAACATATATAGCCAAATTAGAATGTACTTTAGAAATAACCTTCATTTATTACTATTCACAACACAAACACTCTAATAGTCAAGCCCCAATCTAAAAAGAAGATCTATCTAATCTATCTAATTAGATATCTAATCCCCTACCAATCTAGTTAGAAGTGCGAAATTCCTACAGAAGGATATCAGGAAAGAAAAACAAAAATAAATAATAAAATAATCAATAATTAAATAATTAAAACTAAAATTCAATTAAATATGAAAAGATAAACAACTATTATACAATTAATTGAATGATAAATAGTTAAATAGTAAAATGAAAATATTTTAGACCGCGTCTTATTTAGAGTTCTAGCTGAAATTACATTATTACCCAAAACCTGCAAAACAGCTGAGCTGAATTTAAGCCCTGAATATACAAAAAATAATGTACAATTTCAAAAAATGTTTTCAACACATCAACGAAAAAAGCTGAATCAGTTTAAACGTTACTAATGAGAATAAAGATGATAGAAACAATATCAGAGTATGGAAGGAAATTTTAATGGTAATGTGAAAGCATGCAAACACAGAAAAGAGTCCAACACTTTCCGACTATGATCCCCAGCTGAAATTCTAACTCTCAAGCTGAATGTGACAGGGAAAAAATTTCGCCCGAATCTGAGGCTTGATCTGTGAGAACAAACGTCTGCATAAGTGACAATTTTCGGCACTTGTATTTGGCTAGATCATTCGAAAAAGTCAGCATGTGCTTTTTTCCATGAGAAAGTCACTAGCGTCGGACGTGCACAATAACTGTTATCACTTCGAGTACTTTCTGCAACGAAAAATTTACTCGTTCTCATAAATTCATTATACTATCTGAAGAACAACGCTCTGACATGTAGGTGAGGCTTTTCTTTCCTTAAAAGCCTCAACCTCAATTAAAGGATTTGTTTCTCAGGGAAAGATAAACATGTACTCAAATGTATCGATTTTTAAAGTTTACATATTATTAAAATACATTGTTCGAGATCAAAATAACTTTCTGTTGAAACTGTGATTTATTCACATAAAAGAATAGCTGCAGCTCTCTCATTTTACGGCTCCGATATGCTTCAGCTAGAATTCCGATTTATCTTAAAAACTGACATGTACCGACGCCGTGCTCCAGTGAGCTCTAGCACAATTTATTCTTTGCTCGCATTCACCAATTTTAAACTTTATTTATCGCATCACTGGATTTGTGAATTCAATCATTCATAGCAATTAACCCAACTAAGAAGTGGATAACAATAGGACTACGATTAGTAGATCATTAGGTTACAACAGCGTAAAGTCTTATTCTTCGCGCTTTTAATTTCGTTGCTGATTTACCTACTTGAGCGAATATGTGATTTGGAGGGGAAAAAATCGGAAAAACTAGGAATAGACTAAGTTTTTAACGATCATAAAATAATGAAAATTTCACAAATTAATGTAAAGACTAAAACATTAAGTTTGGTACGCATAATTTCAAGATTAAAAAACACTACTATTGCTACCACTACTGCTATACACTACCATAACAAGGGCTGTTTCACCGAATATGGAAGAGCATTAATCGCTAAAACAGCAATTTCAATACTATAGTTAATCCCTAGGTTTGTCCGAAGCTTAATTTTGGGGGGGAGGGGGTGCAGAAACTATCAGGTAATTTAAATCGATAAATTCGCTTTCGAAAACTTGTGCGAAGTTTGCACATGAAAATATGGAACTTATGTAATTTATTTATTAAAGCATCATAAATACTATTATACTAATAAGAATTCTTCTATAGGTATCATACAGGATTTAGATTTTATACTTATAAAACCTTCCTATCTGCAGTACTGAAGCTGTTTTCATAGAATTTTGTGCTAAGAGATAGTTTTCTTCCAAAATAAGTTTCGAAAAACTTTGTAATTTTACATATACTCCTAAAATTAATTTTTAATAAAATAAAACTTGTAGCTATCCTTTTCAAAAAAACTCTGTACATACAAGAATCAGACGAAAATCCGTTTGCAGCCTTTTTGTTTCACAATGATACCTCTAGATCTGCATATGTTAAGGCTATCTCTACCAAAGTGCGCCCTCCCCAAGTGGCCGAGTGGCTAAGACTGTTGACTAGGTGACGGTTATTGTTAAAATTTTACATGATATATATTTTGTACAAATTAATGCAAATTACATTCTGATGACTTAAAAGTTGCAAAAATATATCTTCCCAATACTTAAAAGCTTTCAGCTGACAGCACATAGTTATATCATCTTTCGTTTCACAAAATTTCTCTTAGATTTGCAGAAATTCTGCTTTATTGCCATAAAAAATTCTTCGCCCTCCACTGCACTCTAGTAATCAGTTTTTTCTCTCTTTAATTACGAATGCAGCTCTCTTTGATATCCTATTTAAACAATCAGCCATATTTCCAATTCTTCTGCTTCAGTTACTGACCAACACTTGCCATTTGGCTGAACGAACAATACCTCGCGTTCCATACCAGCAATTTTGTTTATTTGCTA